GAGACAGAAAAACAAAAGAGACTACAGTGTAGAAAAAACAAAAAAAACAAAAAATATATATATATATGTGGGAAATTAAAAATTATTTCCCTGATAAAAGGTTTTTTTTGAGTCGGCACAAGATCTCATGAGAGATAAAAGGGAAAGGGTCTTTTTCTGATCAGGAAACTTGTAGACTAAGAAAGTATGTATTCCAAACTGAGACAGGAACTATGTAACAATGTTGGTGCTGAGGGGGATGAATATGATGATGATTCTGAACTGGTTTAGTACACTTTCTTTCTTATCCATGTGTGATTTTAATATCAGCAGTTTAAAACTGAACGGAGCCAGGGCTGATTTTAAAAGGGCTGCTCTTTTTAAACTCATGGAGATAAAGAGGATAGATGTTTCGTTTTTACAGGAGACCCACAGCACAGCAGATAATGAATGTGAATGGAGGCAGGCTTTTAATGGGGGGGTCGTTTTAAGTCACAAGTGGAGGGGTGGGGATTTCATTTTCCAGGAGTTTTTTACCAGTTTATTTTGACTTAGAGGCGATCATCCCAGGTGTTTTAATGAAAGTAAAAGCAACTTTTGAAAAAGTGAAGCTTGTGTTTTTAAATGTTTATGCACCAACCAAAGGGTTGGACAGGATGGCATTTTTAAACATTTTAAATGATACTGTTAAAGACTGTAATGATGATGATTTGATGTTTTTAGGAGGTGATTTGAACTGTATTGAAACACCTCTTTTAGACAGGAATCATTTAGAGCCCCACCCTGCTTCCTCTAGCAGGATCACACAGATCATTCAAACACACCAGCTGTGTGATGTGTGGAGGGTTTTTAACAGTAATCACAGACAATACACCTGGAGTCATTCAAAAGACAACTTTTATCATTAGCTAGACTGGACCGCCTCTATTGTTTTAATCATCATTTAAATATTTTTAAAAGATGTCACATTCAGCCTGTGGGTTTTAGCGATCACTCTTTAGTTTCCTGTTCTGTTTTTATTAAAACATTAAAACATTTGTTTAAAGAGCACCTATTGGCATTTTAACACCGCTCTTTTAAACAACCATGTTTTTAGAACTGCTTTTAAGTTTTTTTGGGAGAGCCACAGAGAGAGCAGGCCTGCCTTTCCCAGCATTCAGCAGTGGCGGGATTTTGGGAAGACTCAAATTAAACAATTATGCCAGCAGTTTACTCGCAATGTCACTCGAGACTTAACCCGATCTTTGAGAAATCTTGAGTTTGAGGCAGAAGAACTGCAGTCTTTAGCAGAGTCCTCGGGAAATGGAGGGCATTTAGACTCCCTCAAACACAAAAAGGTAGCCATAGCCAACCTGCTAGGCGTGTCAGCACAGGGGGCTCTGGTCAGGTCGAGGTTTATGAACATCTCACAGATGGACGCCCCATCTCGATTTTTATTTGGGCTGGAGCAGAAAAATGGACAAAGGAAGATCATTCATTGTTTACGTGCGGGTAGTGGCTCCGATATCTCAGACTCGTCTGAGATTAGGAAGTTTGCTGCCGGTTTCTATAGAGACCTCTTTGGGAGTGAGTGATAATCCAGATGTGCACAGCAGCTTCCTAGCAGGTCTCCCTCAGGTCAGTACAGAGGCTAACTCGGAGCTGGAGGCAGAGTTAACTCTGGAAGAACTGTACACAGCGATGATGAGTTTGCAGAGCGGCAGAGCTCCAGGGATGGACGGCCTTCCTGTAGACTTCTTTAAATCGTTTTGGTCCATCATAGGACCAGATCTGTTACAGGTTTTTACAGACAGTGTTCAGAAGGGAAGACTCCCTCTGAGCTGCAGGAGGGCCGTCATCACCCTGCTGCCTAAGAAGGGAGACCTGCAGGACATTAAGAACTGGAGACCGGTGTCTCTGCTGTGCACAGACTGTAAGATCCTGTCCAAAGCTCTGGCCCTCAGACTGAGAGAGGTGATGGCGTCCATCATCCACCCTGACCAGACCTACTGTGTGCCTGGCAGGCTCATAAGTGATAATATCACTTTAATTCCAGATGTTCTGGCAGTTTCCAGTGAATTGGGCATAGAAACTGGTCTTATTTCCATAGACCAGGAAAAGGCTTTTGACTGGGTTGAACACCAGTACCTGTGGCAGACTCTAGCCGGGTCTGGCTTCAACCCTGGGTTCATAGCCAAGATCAGGGTTCTCTACAGTGACATTGCGAGTATTCTGAAGATTAATGGCGGGCTGAGTGCATCTTTTAATATTGGGAGGGGGGTGAGGCAGGGCTGCTCTCTCTCAGGCACGTTGTACTCTGTAGCCATCGAGCCTCTGCTCCACCAACTAAGACAGAAACTAACAGGTGTGTATTTCCCCAGCTGCCCCGTGTCTTTTAAAATATCTGTGTATGCCGATGATCTCATCGTGCTTCTTAACTCACAAAAAGATATCAATGTTTTAACTGACACTATTAACATGTTTGGTTTATTTCTTCTGCAAAGGTGAACTGGGGAAAGAGCGAGGCTGTGATGGTGGGGGAGAGGCTGGGGGGTCGGCTCAGTCTGCCTGCTGAACTCACATGGAAGAGAGGAGGTCTCAGGTACTTGGAGGTCTTCCTGGGGGATGAGACCAGTACCAAGAAAAATTGGGAGGGGGTCCTTGAAAAAGTAAAAGGCAGATTAAATAAGTGGAGATGGCTACTCCCTAAAATGTCTTAGTGAGGACGGACCCTCATCGCCGGCCTCTCTCCTAGCTCAGGTACAACGTCTTTTAGTTGATTTTATCTGGGACAGGATGCACTGGATCCCACAGAGTGTCCTTTTTCTCCCTAAAGAGGAGGGCGGTCAGGGCCTGGTCCATTTGGCCAGCAGGGGAGCTGCTTTCCGCCTGCAGTTCATTCAAAGGTTTTTAACTGGACCAAAGGACACTCTGTGGAGGACTCTAGCCTGCTGCATCCTGAACCATTTTAATAACCTGGGTATGGATTTTAATTTGGTTTAATGGACAGCACCCATTTTAACAGGTCATCTCTGCCTAGTTTTTATAAAAGTGTTTTTAATGTCTGGAACCTTGTGAGACAACAGAGACAGGACCAGGCAGACTCCCTACACTGGCTGCTGCAGGAACCGGTCCTTCATGGGACAATTCTGGACTGTCCCAGCTGGGCAGACCCCTACCTGTCTTCTCTGTTCCAGACTGCAGGGGTCACTACTCTGGGCCAGGTGGTGGAGCTGGCTGGACCCCAGCTGCAGAACTTTGCAGGGTTGACAGTGAAACTGGGAATGAGGTCCAGCAGAGTCGCCCAAAAGCTCCTGGACTATTGGAAGGAGAAACTAAGTGATTGTGGGCTCCAGATGTTGGACTTTTTCTGCTCTGGTCGGATTGCACCTGACACACAGGACCCCTTCCCCTCCATCCAGCTCACTGTGGACCTGAACAACTGCACAGGTATCCTTCTGGACCACTGTCCTCAGGCCTCTCTGCAGGACGCCTCAGGAAAGGTGGCAGACGAACTGACACCCCATGGAGTACTCACCTGGGCCTAGGAGGGTCTGGGCTGGCCTGGAGGTCTCTTTACAAACCTCCACTGACAAAAAGACACGGAGACTTACAGTGGAGGAACCTCCATGGGGCCGTGGCAGTGAACTCTTTTATCTCTGTTGTGAACATTGATGTTGAAGACAAATGCCCATCACAGAGAGAGAGACTGTTTTTCATTGTTTCACTGGATGTCACTGACTGTCTGCACTGTTTCTGTTTTTACAAAGTGTTTTTACTGCTTTTACTGAGCCTTTTACCACAGAGGTTTTTATCTGTGGTTTTAAATACACTCACCAGAAGAAGGAGAAGAGCCAGCTTTTAAACTTTGTGTTGGGCCAGGCCAAGATGGCGGTGTATGTGAGCCGGAGGAGGAAGGTGGAGGGTCCAGGATTCTTCTGGATTTTAATTTTTACAAGGTTTCAGGAGATCTGAACACTTTCAGGACTGTGTGGTGTTTCCAGACTGTTTTATGTGATGTGGCAGATGATGACCTGGAGTTTGGGAATGTGCTGACAATATGTTCTATATATTTATTTATTTATTCGACAACAAAAGAACAAAGAATAGTCTTTTAAATAGATCATTTAAAATGTTAATATAAATGTGTACATTGTATGTGAGCGGAATAATAAATTGTGTTTTAAAAATCACAAAAGTCCCTCACTCTCTCTCTCTCTTTCTCTATAAAACATGCTTTGCAGCAACCGGTTTGGCAAGAAAGCATTGTTGTACAACACTACCACCTTTATAATGGAATAAGGACATAGTGTCGACACACTGCCAACCACTGCCGCGCGTCTATTTTATTTTTTAATTTATTTATTTATTTATTTATTTATTGCTGTGTCTGATTAAAATGGCTTAAATTAAGCCTCAAAGTCAGTAAAGTAGCTGTCATGCTCTCGGTGTTGTTCTCTGATGTGCAGACGCGGACTCACCTGAGCGTCCCTTTCTCTCTCTCTCTCTCTCTCTCTCTCTCTCTCTCTCTCTCTCTCTCTCTCTCTCTCGTCCGTCTGTTTGTAAACCGTGCCGGCCAGCGTGGGAATGAGTGGTGCTTATACTCGTTGCTATAGCCTACCAATTAACATTAACCTCAACCAAGTGACTGAAAGGAAAATTTGAGTTTATTTTGGGTTTTCATGCACCTGTCAAGTTAGGTTTCATTTCTCCCTGACGAGCTAGAGAGAGAGAGAGAGAGAGAGAGAGAGAGACATGCATCCATAGCAAGAGAGAGAAGGCAGGCAAAAGAGAACCTCTTCTCAGATCTGTATTTCTGCGAGTGCAAGAGTGAAAATGGGATATGCAAATAAGTTAGAAACATGTCTTTATTATGTTCTTTCTCTATGCAGACATAACTTTAGTATGTTCTTAAATGATTGCTATAATGTTGGTTACAAGTGTTTACAGTAATGTTAATATCCTGTTATTAGGTAGGCCACCTAGTGGGCGCTGTTCAGGCAGGAGTGAGCTGGAGGAAAAGAGGAAAAGAAGAGATGTTGTGAAATGTACCGTGCGTCAGAGAAGCTGACTGAAGTTATGAGAAAGACCCAGAACGCGTTTGGACTGATTTATTCCTTCACATACATCCACGTCGCTTATACATCCGAGAGAAGGCTGTGTTTCTGCGATTAATTTGGAGTTAGCAGCACTTGCAAAAAAGTAAGTTTGTTTTAAAGGTGCACTATGTAGATTTGGTGGTGAGATTTTAAGGTTGGAGAAGTGAAACAATCTGTGCTATATTTTCTGAACTAAATACACAAACTTTACTCAAAGGAAAAATGGGTCCTTGAACACTGTTTGGAGCTAAAAAGCGACCAGGAGAGTTACGATTTCACTGTTGCAGCTTGAGCTAATCATAATAAAGTATGTGATTAAAAAAATAAAGTTTATGTGGGTATGACCTCACTGTCTTGGGCGTGGCAAACCATATTCAACAAAATAGCAACCAGAAAGCACAATGACAAAGCATTTTTAGATTGATTGATAAACTTTATTGATACCCCGTGGGGGAAATTTGTGCATTACAGCAGCTCAAGAAAACAGGGGACGGGAATATAATTATTAAAAATAAAAATAGAAGATGGATGATGTTAAGGTCTTGGCACTGTCCCAGTTTACCAATACACTACGATTCTACTACTATTCAAGTCATAGTTTAGAGGGGCAGATTATATAAAATTAGTTTTCTTTCTGCTCCTTTTCATTCAAAATTTGAGATTTTGTTTGTTTTTTAATTGTATTACAAGGCTTACATCGATTCAAAACAATGCAAAACAAGATTATATTTCCCCCACTGGACAGGGCATCAGCCCCCACGTTGTTTGTTTGAATGAAATAAATGTATAATTACATGAATAGTAGGCTATGTTGTATATGAAGTTAGGTGGCTAAGGTTAACTTAAATTGTCTGAAAAAAGAAAGAACAACTTAATATGTTGTTCTGGATGAAGTAAATGCTTCCTTCAGTTCAATTTAAGTTAACGTTAGCCACCTAACTTCATACACAACACATCTCCCTTTCTCATGCTGCATTTCTGTTCTATGACAGAAAAGACACTGTCTCTCACCTGTGCTGCCAGTACTTTCCTTTTCCTTTCTTGCTTGCTCTGTGTGCTGTGACATAGGTTTGACATCTGTTGCAAAAATGTTCTTCTTTTCTTTTATCCTTGAAGCACTTTCTTTGCTTGCATTTGCTTTGTTTCCATCCCTTGATGAGGTGTGCTCTTGTATGTTGCCAAGCAATGGATGAGAAGCAATTTTTGCCTGCTTGTCCACGAAGCTGACCAGATTACTGAACCTGGCTCTGACCTAATAACAGGCCATTTCAATGCTCTTTCAATGTAGGCAGAAGCAATAGTATATTCATTCCCGAAATGTTTGTTCAAGAGCTTCTTAGCTTCTACATAGCCTCTGTCAGGATGCATATGTGAACAACCCTGAACGAGAATCTTATGTCTGCCATGGGTGAACTGCTCAAGGAAATGCAACCTATCCCGGTTGCTGTTTGTCCTCTCATGAAGAAACCAAACTCCAGGGGATCTCTATTAAAGACAGGGACATTTAGAGGTGGGAGAGTGGAGACTCTCTGTTGCCTCACTAAAAGCTCTGTAATCTCATTTTGTCGCTCCATGACATTCAGCAAATCTCCAATATCAGCAACTCTGCTTTGTCTTGTGCTGGACTTTTTGCTTGACTTAGCATTAAGATGATGAGGTCTGCCATCTCTTTCTGAGCTATGTTGAAGTCTGATTCTCTGTGTTACATCTGGTCATAGGCGTAGAATTGTGTATGGATGTGTCCATACCAATCTCAAACAATGGCTGAAATGTCCACACCAATATTAAGGTTGAAGGAAAAAAAAGGCGCCTCATGCGGCACACAAAGGGTTAAATCCTTTCCCACTTCGGCACCGCCTCTCAAATGCGTCTTTGAGACAGGCCTGTTTTTTGATTGGCTTAGCTTCCTGTAGGCTGTCGAAGTTGTTTCGCTAACAGGCTTTGCCAGTGTTGATGAGAGGGAGGTCGATACTGTTGGTGTGCGATATATGTACGAGGATGTCGGGCAAGAAAAGAAAGGTGGAAGAAGACATTAGAAGATATTTCACGAAACAAAGTGTAAGTCACCTGAGGAAAATAGTCCCCCCTCATAGGCTACCGCTAATGAATGCAAAACATTTTTCCAACCGTTTTTTCACTCTTAATGGTGATTGATTTGTTACTTTGTCAGGTGACAGAAGAAACAAAACAGGCGCAGCTGTCCCCATTATACAGCTTTTATGTAGTTTTAAATTTTGGATACTAAGGCTATAGCAAGGTGGCATTCTCTAATAGATTTGATTTGAGATGTACATGATTCCTAAAAAAACATCCCAAAACACCTGTAATGTTTTGAATATGCAGAAAGTTATAAACAATACAGTTGAATAATTAATAGTAATTCATAAATAATTATAATTTCCTATACATAGTAAAGAAATTTCCGTCATAAATTAATTCAGAAATGGCACAAATTGTTGCATAAAAATTCACCAGAATGCAGGAAATGAAGTGTTTGACGCTGAAAATTCTCTGGGGGGGAACCCCCAGACCCCCGCTGAAAATGTGTCCCCCCCAATGGTGAATCCAAACCTACGCCCTTGCATCTGGTCTACTTTTTTGGCGGAAGTCTACACATTCTGACTGCACAGCTCCAATGCTGCCTTCTCTAATATGGCTTGCAGCATTTAGGTATGAAGTAATTCCATCCTTTGAAACAGCAGAAGTGCTATCAGCTGGCTCTTTTACAGTCAACACCTCCAGTTTTGCACTAGCTGGAGCAATAGGTGTCTGCAACTCCCATTCCTCTTTTCTTGCTTTCAGCAAAGCCTCTTCTCTCTGAGTTTCCAGTTTCTGTTTCAAAGCCTCTGCACGTGCTACCAAGGCTGCCCGTTCAGCTTCTACTCTAAGTCGAGCAGAAGATGCAGTTGTAGACACACTTGAAACAGATCGGCTGCTTTGCGACACACTACTGTGTTTGACTGATGATATCATTGAGGCACTATCTGTAGGTTCTACCTTAGCATCCATTATTTTAGCCTCATCTGCCTGTTGCTGAACTATTTTCAACCACTTTTCCACATTCTCTACAAATGTTTTTAATTTGATGAATTTAGGCTCATGCCACTGCGTCTGATCATGAAGAACTTCTTTGTCGTTCATTTCGACTCTTAACTGCATCGTTGACTGCACAGAATTTCATGTACATGTTTGTGAAATCAGTGGTCATTTTAGCATTCACTTCTTCAGCATTGCTGTCATCCTCCGTAAGAGCATCAATTTCCTTCATCTTTCTCGTGAGATAAGCAAACTTAGCTTTCCTTGCTCCTTTTAGCTGATTAAACTTTTCCTCAAACACTTTAACAGTAGACTTTGGTACTGTTTTTGTGGCTGATTCTTGTCCCACTTGATCCATGCTAATAACGTTGCAACAAACTCCTCAATCAAATAAACGGAGGTCTGTGTGGTTATAAGTGCTCAGTTTATGTGTATGGAGCAACAGTTTTCTGACCGTCACGGTTTTAGTTTTTGGTCAAAATAAATATTTGTATATAAATATAAAGTGATATTTATAAGAGCTTATTTTGTAAACTGCAATTCTTTTTTGAGGAATAAATCATCTTTTTTTGTCACTTTAAATTTGCCTCCTTTCATCTTTGGATTACTTTAAAAATGTGTCTTTTGGAAAGTAGCCTACGAGTCAGAAACTTCTAGTCCTGCAAGAAGTGGCAAGAGGATTTTTGTTTGAGTTAAGTTGCCACTACATGTTACCTTCTTAACATGTACTCATAAAATGTGATTGTTAATTTGTATTTACTTTAATGCTAATTGCTAACTGCTCACATACAAAAGTATAGCACCCACATATAAAAATGAATAGCTAGTTAGCAGAGTCAATTAGCCAACTTCAGGGTGACATATTAATGCTGACTAATATTTCTGAATCCAATGGTATCCAATTTTTAGTTTTTTCCCTCTCAGCCTCAACCAACTGACTGAACAGAAATGTGAGTTTATTTTCATTAAATTTTCATGCACCTGTCAAGTTAGGTTTCGTTTTTCCCTCACAGCGTCACCAGAGCGCCAGTCATGGCTGAAGTGGACGAGGAACAGTTTTCTCTGATGAGTCTGGAGGATGAGCTGACCTGCAGTATCTGTCTGAGCCCCTTTGACTGTCCGGTGACCATTCCCTGTGGACACAACTTCTGCCAGGACTGCCTGCTCACCACCTGGAAGAACTCCTACAGCTGTCCTCAGTGTCGGACCGTCTTCCCAACCAGACCTGAGTTGAAGAAAAACACCGTCATCAGCACTATTGTAAATACCCTCAACCTCAGGTCCAACAAAAGCGAAGCCATCCAGGACATGGAGGAGAGCAAAGAAAAGGAGACAGATGATGTCATACGCTGTGATACATGTATGGAGGCAGAAGCGTCCCAGACCTGCCTGACCTGCATGGTCTCTTTCTGTGAGGAGCACCTGCGACCTCACCGAGAAAATCCCAAATTTAGTGCCCACCAGCTTTGTGATGCTGTCGGGGACCTGTCGGAGCATCTCTGTTTGGACCACCACAAGTTAATAGAGTTTTACTGCAGTGAACATGGCCGTCCAATCTGCAGCCTTTGCCTGCAACAGGTCCACAAAGGCTGCCCCTTCATTTCACCTGAGGAGCAGAGGAACCAGAAAGAGGTGTGTTGGTGCCTATATCATTTATGACACTACAGCTCAGCTCAACTTAAACTCTAATGGACTTGTAGATTAAAATAAGCATCTGCCTCCTGCAAAATACAGGGTTCAAGTTTAGCTGTGCAAGGTTGAATTTACAAGTCACACAGCAGCGTTAAATCGAACAAGGTGATATTCAACCACCACTAACAATTCAATGGTTGGTTAGTGTAGTCACTGTGGGGCATCAGTAAAAATGCTCAAGATAGAGTTGTCTTCAGAAAACACTACAGTCCCACATTAAACATAAAGAGCACTTGCATCCTGATGGACACACACAGGTCCTCACTGTCCAATGAAGACGAACCACGTAACATTAACTTTAACTGAGAGAGAGCTTGCTTGTAATCATGAACTGCTCTGATCAACTAACAGTACACCACTCACGTCTAACAGGACTGACAAATGATTGGCCTACACCAATTCTCCGTAAGTGGGGCTTAGCAACCGAGGCATACACACTATCAATAGAAAACAACATGGAGATCTGTACACCAGTTTATGGAATCTTCTTTACAGCAGATAACTTTATTATTAACTTTAAAGTGGTTTTCAACTTCTGGTGTATTGTTCTTTTCAGTCTGACCTTAGGGACAAGCTGGGTTTGCTGGACACGAAGATAGAGCGGACTGAGACTGTTTTGTTCCAAATGAAAGATGTGCAGAGCAAGCTCAAGGTATTTAAATTTTGTCTCACAAAATTAGAAAACATGTCAAGAAGCATTTAATTTAAACAAAAAAAATGTGATGGTGGTCCCTCTGTTGAGTTGGTCTTGTGTTTATGGCTCCTTTTTGTGTAGGATGCTTCAACCAAAAGGAAGACGGCGTTGGCAGGGATGTATCAGCAGATACGGGATATGTTGGCTTTAGAGGAACGTGAGGCCCAGCATGAGGTGGACCGGGAGATGGAGATTGGTCAGACCAAAGTGCAGGACTTCACAAAGAGGTTTACTGAGAACGCTGAGAACATGAGAAAAGCCAGAGAAAATATCAACAGTCTGCTTGGTCAATCCCGGACCCTGGCCTTTCTACAGGTGGGAGGAAAATATGAAAAACCAGTCAGGGAGGGTAAAAGGGAGAGGATTTAATGCTTAGCCTGAAGACAAAGGAGGAAAACATTAGGGACAAGGGAATTGGACTGGATGCTATTTTGGTGAATGCTTCGTGTCAACCACAACATTTTGAAGAACAACCATGTAACGTCTATAGCTACAGATGCATCAAGATTGTAATCAACATAATATATCAATCGACAATATTTTAGAATGCAACAGACCACATGAGTCAGTGTTGTTTTTAGCAATGATACCAACATTTCCTGGTTCTGAAATCTTGATGGTCGGATGGTGTATCATGTGATTTATGATCAAATATGTTTGGGTGTTTCAGCTTTGGTGTTTACATTATCACTATGTTTATGATTTAATGTATCAATGAATTGAGGAAATAAGTAGCTTCATGTAATTTCTGTTGAGATCATTTCTGTCTGTGGCTCCTCTGAGTGGTGCTATCACAAACAGATATATGCATGGTGCTACACCCTACACATGCTAGACCCATGTCTTACAAAACTTGGGGTATTTGCTGTCTCTTGTTTCTCATAGGCCTCCTTTGACTTGCCACGGGTTGTGAACTTTGACCCTTATGCCCCTCGAATCAACCTGGACACCAAAAAGGTGACAGCAACACAGGCCTTTGCTGCTGCGCTGAAGGAGCATCTGACTGAGCTCTTCAAACAGCCTGTTGAAGACAGACTACTGGCTCTAAAACCAGGTGACTCCACTGTGCAGAAAGTTTAACATGAAGCCAATCACTTTTCACCACAGTACATGTTTATCTCATGACTTCATGTCATGAGGGAATATTGTGAAATTAATGAAATGCTTAGTTTAATCAGCTAATACATGCACTGCACTTACTGTATACCATTTGCAGATGGATCTGAAAGTTCTGCAAGTGCTGGACCTGAATCTGGTAAGTTTATCAAAGATGATTGTTTAGCAAAACAATTAAAGGAGCAGAACTACAGATGTCTCTTTGACAAGCATTTTGAAGAACACACATCTTTAACATATGATGGAACAGTTGTAAGTGTATGAAAGTTTCTTTAACTCCCCTTCCTACCTTAAAACTTCCAGATCCACCAGAGCAGAGAAGACCACCAAGGTCCCACAGTCCAGGTCGTGCGCCCATCCAGCCAATCTTCCAGCCATATCCTGTCCCTGTTTATTTTCCTCCAGATGCAGGCTGGAATTCATCCCAGTATGCACAGTCCTCTCACCCTCATAGGGGTCCACCTTTCAAGGCAGGACCAAAGACAAGTAAGATATCGAATCAGCACAATGTTTTATTGATCATGACAGCGTGATGAAAAGATCTCCACATTGATCATATTTAATTTAACATTTATCCGATGACTTTTCCCAAGAAGATGATCATGAACAAGTCAAATCAAACCAACCAGCCAACCAACTCCACACACAAAAATACACAACAAAACACAATACTTACCCTTTTAGCCAAACTTAACTTTAAAGGCGAGAGAACCCAATCAGTTTGAATGGATCCCAAAGAAGGCTGCAAATGTGTGCAAGACCGACAACACACAGAAGGAACACACTTTGAACTAGCTCTGGAGATACTTTGAATGTAGTGGTCCAGGTTTTGTGATCTTGTCTCTGAGGTTTTCACTCAAACACACTGTGTATGACGTACTCAAGGTATTTTGTATTCTGATCAAATAGGTGAACAGAAAATGTGAGGATAAGCTGTTAAGCAAATGACATGTTCCCTTTTTCTTTACGCAGACAATGATTCCAGTCACCAGTCGTCCCAAAGTATGTCATAAATCTTTATTATCTTGTTTACTCAAAAGTTCTTTTTGTTTTCCATGCACACCATTTCCTGCTGACTCATCATTTGAAATAAAATCTTGACCAGATATACACGTAATGTTTGCATGATATGAAATATTACATTTAGAAAATGATATTTTTTTGGCTTCATGGTTAAGAAAAACATGTTTAATCATTTGATTCTTGCACTTTGTTTGTTGGCTTAATCTTTTGAAAAATAACTTTCTGTTGCTCAACATTGAAATGGCTTCTGAGTTTTCTAACAATATTTCATTTTGTAAATCATAAACCTTGTTACACTTTTTGTATAAATGAGCTCTTAACTGGAACCATTTTCTCAGTATTTGTAAGCTCTTTGTGTAGTTTAATCTTTGTACTTAAGGTCTTGTCATGTGGGCAGGGTGGTTGTTTGATTAGAGCTGTTTGTAAAATGAATCAAACAGCTCATAGCTCTCTTACAAAGTTGAAACAACCAGAGCTACCTATTTGCTAAGATGTTTGAAAACTCTGGAGGCTTTTCACATTCAGAACCCATTTTAGTAATGACTACAAAATCAGGTTTTCTCACAGTTGTACTTCACAGAATCAAGGTTTTAAAAGTGCACATATTTCGGAATATTATGTTTATATATATATTTATTTTTCAGAACAAGATAAAAAGCCCCCCGGTGCTCCAGGTGGAGGTAAACAGGGTGCCAAACAGTCTGATTTCACTAAGAAAGACAAAGGCCAGCCTTCATCTGGGAAATCCACTAAAGGAAATCCTTCATCTGGGAAATCCACTAAAGGCAATCCTTCATCTGGGAAATCCACTAAAGGAAATCCACGGCCTCACAAAAAAGAGTAGATGCAGCAGCAGATGTATTTGCTCTTTTAGGTGGAGGTTATCAGTATATCACATGATGGGGAGTACACTTGTTGTTTTGCATTGTGCAATAAAAGGCTTGTTGAGTAATGACAGCCGTCTGTAAATGATTGATCAAGTGTGCTGCTGCACGGTGCCAGACGAGGTGAGCTCGGCATCATAATGAATAGGATCTCTTATCAGGGGATAGTGGAACAGATTATCTTACTGAAATCATTTTTACTTGTAAAATTACCCCATTAAAACACAGACACGCAGACATGTGGTTTGTATATAAAATATTTATGGGAATGTCTTCAAATTCGAAAAATCACTTTACATTCAGCTCAATCTTGGTTTTTTTTGTTGTTGCCGTTAGCAACAACTTTGCAAAGCAGTCTTCCCTGCCATTAGAACATGATTGTTCATTACAAGAGCTCATTTTCCTCATACAGTTTTATTTGTATTTACTCTTCAGCAAAGACAACATAAGGCTTCCTCTTCAGACCGTATCGTGTCCTTTTTCTTTCTGCACACTCCTATCAGCCTTAAAGGTTTTTTTTCAAACTAAAACTTAACAGCACAGAGGTAAGCATATTCAAATATTGATAATGAAAGCATTTTGTAGCAGACAAAGGGGTGATACGGGTGTCAAATTCAGTTTACATTAACGCTGTTTCATATCTACCAAGACTCAGTCATTAAACTGAGCCAGTCAAAACATTAGCACAGTCAGGTCCCTTCAACGTCAACCATAAAACAAGTTACAGAGTGGTCAGCCACACTGACAACCAGCTGAGTTGGAAATGTAATTACAGGCCAGGGAAAAAATGTTGGATTATTTTTCTGTTTTTACATTCTTATCAGTAGTGGACACACAAAATGTAAAGGTAGTGCCTGAATAAAAAAAAAGAGGTTATGTTACATAAATGAAAATCATTAAGCTCTGTGCAGTTAGTGGCTGTACATTGTCCACTGTCATCAGATCAAAGCTGCATTCATCAGGTTTTTAGCTCTAGAATTTGAATGTATCTGTCAAAGCAAAACCTGTGACCTTCTCACAGTGATAGCCACGTATGCCAGCACCAAAAAACTCATTCAGGATTTTTAAATTCAGTCCGCACAAATTTGATGTTAAGCTTTGACGCTACATCAATTTATCAGGATTAACAAAATCACTCTTGGGGGGGGATGCTAAATATCCAGTAGTTACAGAGGTAGCTCATTATGAAATGAGGCAATAAAATAGAGTGCAATAAACAAGCAACTGTGGTAAACATGGAAGATCAGGTAAAGATCAGACCCAGCGTCACTTAGTTTGAAGACATTCACTAAACAAATGGAGGATAATGAAACCATGCGGCTTGGTGAACTGCGTATTCCAAAAGCATAGGCATCACACGGCTAAAAAAACAGATCCCTGTTGAGCCTTACTATGCGCAACACACATTGAAAGCACAAACTGACATTCTTAAGACTTTCCTGATATGGCTGTTGGCACCAAGCAACCATTCTGAAATACACAGGACCACCCCAAAAGGTAAAAGAAGACACATAGAAAAAGACACTACATGACAGAGAGACAGGAAACTGACCGTGTGCAAATCTGACGCAATCAAGAAACACTTCAATGTCACCTGAACACAACACATTCAATCACACGCCCTATTAACCTGTTTGTTTAGTGGATGATCAACTCTACATGTTGTAGACAAAACAAAATACTGCTCTAGTCCGCCACCTTGTGGTGACCATTTGGCAAAACAAAACATTTGAAAATACATGAAGAGTACTTTAATAACATAAAACAACATGAGAGGGAGAGCGTAATCTCATCCGCAGTTATCACTGTCTGCAGCAACTTTAAAGGTCAACATGATGAGCGTGCATGTCCTACGTCCTAAGCATTGTAAGCATCAGTGTAAGTGTCAAAACAGTGTAGAACAAAATGTGTAAACAGCAGGAACCAGGTAAACAGAGGGAAAACAAAAGGCGAAATAAGTCCTCTGAATTACTTGGAAGTACTTTAAAAATGAACAAGTTAGCTTGTTTCCTGTGAGTTTTACAGGAAAGGTAAATATCGTTTTTCTCGACTGCATCTTAGTACGACTTAACACTTTGGCGAGCTCCTCGAGACAGTGCATCATGAAGGTCACAAATCAGCATCAATGTCCAGTGATTGACAACACATTGTTGTAACAGAACCCTTTCTTCACAAAGACTTAAATCATGAGGTGAGAAAAAGCAGCAGATACTTCAAAATGTTCAGAAGCCTGTAAGGGGGAATCGACCACATCCTCTGTACAGTTAAACATTTCATCGCCTGGAGTCACTAAAGCGCTCCTATATTATTCAGAAAAGGTGTGTGCTGTTTGTTTGTGCTATTATTGGAGTAAAAAAAAACAACAACACACTAACAGATAGTAAAGCATAGCATACTGCTTAAGCCAAATCTACACTTTTACATTCAGCACTGTTTTCTGCATCGCCTCTTCATCCCCCTGCTGTTTATTCAGACATGGCTTTAAAGTGTTTCAGTCTACTGACTTTGGGCAACGTGTTTAAAAATGGCTAACTGATCCCTGCAGGGTTGCACTGGGCATGTGTAATAAATACAGTATAGCTGAATATAGATATCTCTGGCACCAAGGATCACAGTCTTTCTCTTAAACATTCACCTCCTCCTGACCAGCTGTGGAGAGGGGACTGCCTGAGCTGTGGGTTACAATACATGGTGGACAAAAAATACCAAAAAAGCAGATCACACCAGCCTTATTCCAAACCAACTGTGCTAACAGCTCAGAGTTCTCTGAGAACAAATGATTATACGAGAATCTCCTCTGAGATCTTTGTATTGAGCCCATGCAAAGACCTCAGAGGAGGGCGAACCAGTGCCAGTGCAAAGGAGGGGTAAATAAAAAACTGGGCTTCAGAAAAAGAACACGAGGGTTAAATAGAGCTTCAGATTGCGTGACATTTGGTGTGCGGATCATGCACGGACGGAGGCTGGCACAGGGGGACGCGGGGAGTCGTGTGGGGTGGGGCTCTCCGTCTCAGAGGCGCTTGATTCGTCGTCGTCTTCGTCGTCGTCGTCTGTCTGCTCGGCGCTGTGGTACAGCATAAGGGCCTGGGTCTTATGGGTGATGGTGATGGTGCAGGGGCCCTGGGCCCATGGCTCGCCATCTACCTGCATGGGCATCTTGGAGCTCTTGAGAACCAGCTGGAGGGAAAGAGAACACCTGACACTTCAATATGAAACGAGTCTTACAGAGCGAATATTCTGTCTAGTCAACGATTGTAGTAATGTCAGTAACCTCCTCGTCTAGTGCTACATGATTTGTCTTTTCTAAATATCAGGCTGCTGTGAGCATGAAAAAAAATAGCTCTGGTGTTTTAAGTGTAACAGAGTTAATGATTCCACTTGTCATCACTTGGCATAGAATGTCTTTATTTGACCATTTCTATTGTTTAAATACTGTTTATAATTAATTCTAATGAGTATCCACTGGGACTCTGTGTAACATGAGCGCCCTCTGCTGGTGCCCCTGCAGACTTGAGCGGTGCAGCCCGTGTATCTTCGCCAGTCTGCACTATGCTGTCACCGTGGTTAGTTTATGTGTAAATAAGCTCCGCTGAAATACAATAAAATATGTTTGTTTTTCTTGATAAAAGTGATATTTTTCCATTTCACATGTTTGAGAGAATCTCCAAAATTATTGTAAAACTTTTCTGTGATCAAATTACTATGTTTTTGAGTCATTTAGGCTCACCACGTTGTGTGTTATGTAACTTCTGATCTCTGTGGTGTAGCTTGCTTAACAGGTTGCTCAATTATTTGTTTTTATGCTTTAGCAATGTTGGAGCTTATTACTAGAAGAGTGGCTGTGAGAGACCGTATGTGCTTCTGTTGTTATCAGATTAAACGGCGTGCTGGTGCTAAAAGTAAAAGTGTCTGTCTGATTCATCACACAACGCAAGAGAGAGTACACAACCGCTACATAAGGATGAAGATATTTGTCAGAAAACATCAGCAATAAACTTCACAAGCCGCAGCAGCAAATCAATGTCATCTCTGCCCTTCTTCTCTTACAGACTGCTCTGACCATCAACAAACATGCACCGCAAAAGTGAAGTGTACCTTCATCATATATGTATTAAAAAGTCAAAATATGCATGTAGAAAATTCTCATCCAGACTGAAATCATTGTTTTCATAGAGATGGTGAAAGATGTCAGTCGATGTTCATTTGCAGCTCACTGGTTTATCTTTTGAGGACATATTGTAACTGCAATGGAGACTCTTAGCAGCTTCAAAATAATAAACTAAAATCACTCAAATAAACTTGATTTCTGTTTTTAATCGTTGAAACATCTCCCTTCATACTTGAATACTGTACGCCTTGATTTGATATTATACCTCATTACATTATGCTAGGAGGGCCACTCGACAAGCCCCTCTGGGTTTATTTGGCTCCTCCAGCACATTTCTTTCAAAATGTATATTTTGTTAATTAACTAATCATTATGTACTGTCTGTTTTTCCATTGATCTATTATATTTTTTTTGTGCAATAAAAAAAAAGAAGCTTGCATTGAAAAGAAAGTGGCAGGTACCGGTAAATAAAAATGAGTGACTCCACCAATGAAAGTGGCAGATAGGCGAAGAAGGTAAGTTTCCACCCTGCTATGAATGACTTGAAGACCACTTATCACTTTGTGTTATTTATGAATCTGACAGCGACTCCCTCAAATTCAAGATACATTTTCAAACGCTTTCCTCTCCTCCACATTTTCACCAACCTTTTGTTCTTCTTACTTATGACGAGGACAAACGTACACCTTGGCTAAAGAAAGGTTTTACCAAAATGATCTCCTCCGTTGTTCTTTGTGGTCGTGCCACCTAGATGTCCAAGATCTGTGTCCTTGTTTCTGACAAGATGTTTAAACTGATCCAAAATGGAAATCCATTGGATCTCTATTTGGAAGTCTCTGTAATGATGTTTTAACACAGTTTTACGAGTGGATCTTTTATTGATTTATTTTAACCTAATTGTAAGAGATCACTATAAATCACTGCTGTGATGACTCAAACCTGCAGAGAAAACTCATTTCACACCTTTATTATTTTATTTCTCAAAGCCCATGTGTGCAAGTAAACACTGTGGCAGAGCCTTGTTTGTGATGTGTGTGTGTGTGTGTGTGGTATTTCCTCACCCTGACAGTGTGAGCCTGTCCCAGCCGTACGGGATTGGCCAGCTTGACCTGGATCTGAGCACAGTGGAAGGAGCCAAACACACCCATCACCTCCAGTAGACCATCATCCAGCCTGCAGGGGGGAGACAACAACTGAACCGCTGCTCACTGCTAGTTGCTATGGTAACCTGCAGTGCTTTATATACAAATACCTGTAAAGTGGAGCCTTTACAATCACTTAAGCTAAATTCTGCTTACTTATAGTGGATATATGACCTGTGTGACATTTACACAATAATACTGTATACATCTGTTATCTAGGTGTATACCAAGACAGCAGGTATCTTGGTATACACCTAGATAACCTGTTTACCTTGAAAACTCATGTTGATCATTTGAGTCCAAGAAAATAAAGTGTATTCTATCGTATGCCAGTTCTTACCTTGTGGGTGGGCAGGGTTCATCCCCCATACCATCCCAGAGTCTGCAGCCTCCACCCCAGTAGCCAATGTTGCAGACGATGATGCCCTCCAGACTGGGTAGCTGAACTCTCTCCCCATCCAGCTCCAGCTGTGGTAAAAACACACGGACAAACACACACAGAGTATCATCAACTGGATGCTGACTTGATAAATCAATGAAATCTTTTCCTTCTCTGTCACAGAAGTGAAACACATTCCTGATTGCATGTTATATTTCAGCTAGGTGATACCGAGTATGTATATGCACACATTGACAAACTTGCCACGTTACATTTTTGGGAAATTCAATTTTAAGTTGAAAAATAAACGACAGAGTATGATGAAAAAGAAAACACTTAAAATTCAATAAAAATGTATCAAAGTGCAGTGAAGGAAAACTTTAGGCTAACATATCTGAACAAATTCCTCCTGTAAATAAATTATAGAGTGTGAACCAGTGATTAACAACGTGTGGGCCACAGCCCCCTGTAGGCCTGTGAAGGCACTGCAGGAAGGACACAAAAGTTAAGTTACCGTCAAACACAAGACAAAGTTTATAACTACATTTTAACAATGTAGATTTTCACTTTTTATGCTGCTTTGAAATGTGTTTGTGGATTTATTATTAATTTGTTCTACATTGTTGTAGACAGACTCTTACACAGAATCTCTTAAAGAGCCCATATTATGCCCTTTTTGGGGTTTGTATATTTAATCTATGTTCCTACTTTTGTATGTTCACAATAGCTAAAGTCGTTGATTGATAAGAAGATGATTCGTTCAAAACGAACGAATCATCTGGGTGAACGAACTGAACTGAATCACTGACTGAAAAGAGTCGTTCATTTCTCAACTTCAGTTGCGCTCTCCTCTCTCCCGGAGTCAGGAGAGACGGAGTCGGTCGGGAGCTCTGTGTCACTAAAGCCCGCCCCTACTTCTCCCTCTCATGTCTCCAAAATTGAGGAAGTAGAAAATATATTATTTAACATTTAGGTGTCGCCAAAATGTATGTGCTTTTTATAGCTGCCGTCAGTTTACAAACGGCTTTTATATCCAACTTAATTTCACTCAGCTGACTGTTTTAACATCCACTAACGATCGTGTTTCAGTCAGTACAGTGTGTGTGTGTGTGTGTGTGTGTGTGTGTGTGTGTGTGTTCGTTCACTGACGAGAGCTCCGACATGAATCACTGAACGAGAGAGACTCGGAGGCGGAGCTCTCGTTCGTTCAGTTTGTTGACTGAACGAACTGAACGAACTGAACGACAGCTCCGCCTCCGAGTCTCTCTTCCTCTCAGTCAGTCAGTGATTTGTGTACTGAACGTACTGAACAGAACGGTCGGAGAAAATAAATGTGATTGTTTCAGCAGCTTTCAGTTTGCAAACTGTAGCTTTATCCAACTAAATTCTCAGCTCATTGGTTTATTATTCACCACCGGCTGTTCTCAGTACGATCGCGAGCAGAACTAAACGTTCGGCCGTATTTCAGCTTATTAAATTCTGATTCACAGACAGAGCTGCAGAGAAGTACTGAACGATTCAGTGAACGAATCTTTTGAACGAATCACTTTACTGAACTGATTCTACTGATTCAGTACACTGAAAAGAACTGCTTTTCACATCACTGCTCTGAGTCCGTCAGCTACACTCTGCTGAGTTAGACCCCACGTGGGCCAAGTCTGCTCTGATTGGTCTGCCGAGCCGCTCTGTCGTTATTGGTCAGTTGCTCAGCCGCTTCTCGGAAATGTCCCGCCTCTTTTACCATATTTGGAATGCAGCCACTGGCTCCGTCCGAGGGGAGCAAAAACATTAGCACCTAAGCACTACTGTGCTACCGCAGACTACGGCTTATCGTGGGCGTGCTACAGAAGTTAACGGGCGTGCAACATGAGCTACTGGGCTTGCCACAACGAGCCAATGGGCTTAGATCAGTGATCTCACACTGACAAGACGTCACACTGACAGTTTTTTATCGAGGGGGGCTAGAACCGAGCGTTACATGCAGCTAATGCTACAGCTAACAGGAGGACGTAGGAGAAGCTGCGTTTCCGCGGACTTTGCATTTTTTCACATAGATGTGCCTAAACATGCACAGGACACTTGGAAAACACACTAAAGAGCATATAAAACCAGAAAATGCATAATATGGGACCTTTAAGTAAAAACTACAGGAAAATCCAGTAAATGTAATCTCAAATGTGGGTCAGAGATGTGTGATATGAGGCTCTGGCTTTATCTGAAAGTGGGCTGTGGCATTCTGAAGTTATGAAACTACACTGGACTGTAGACAACATACAATAAAGAAATGTTTGTTACTGGTTAGTCTGTAGTGATAAATAAATAATAACCTGTTGCAGATTACATTTCTACGGCGCCCCTGAATTCACAAAAAATAGAACAAAAAATATCTTGTGTGTGCACAACATTTTGACTTTTTGGGCCTTCAGGGGCTCCGTACATTTCATCTCAGTTTAACGTGAATTCATCTCATTTGAGTTCTTGCTGGGAGAGAGTTTAAAAGATCAAAAACACCAATAAATGTAAATGTAAATATTCTGCATAAACAATCAAATGAAAGGAGACACAAAATGCAATCGTGCAATTTCAAAATAGCATGAAAATTGCAACTGGTAAACATCCAGAAGTAGTCATTTTGTTTGCAAAATGTGATGCAAAAAAGCATCATAAGGAAGAAGTCTAGTGCTCCAGAGAAGATTCAGCATCTGCAGACTTGTTCTCAACATGCAAGAACACATGTTTGTTTTTTTGTTTACAACCCAAAACATGTCACATCATCATAGTTTTCATTACATTTGTGATTCTTACATGGTCATCCCCCCCAATATTGAAACATATCACAATCGTAATATCAAACTGATAAACCCAATATGACTTTATTTTTCAATATCCTGAAGCCCCGAGCAAACATGGAGTCTATAAGTTTAGTATGAAGGTCAGATGTGACAGGAAATTAAAAATCATACCTGAAGATACAGCTAGATAAGAGGAGGCCAGACTTCTAATGTCGAGTGATTTCCAGCAAAGTGTATCACAAAGAGTGAAAACTTTCATTCATGAAGAGTGAGGAAAGAATGAACGCAAAAGTTGATTACATGAATAAGGCTACTGTACCTCAATCCTCTTATCCAGATCCTTACATTCCTGCACTAAACAATCTTTGGTTCCATACAGGAAATACACGGCCTGAGAAACAGAACAAAGACTCACAGTGAGGAACTGTCTTTGCATTAATAGTTAAACTCAGTCAACATTTGCATGTGATTTATTTACGTGTTCAGGTGACGTGGCTCAAACTCTCTCACCTTGTTGATGATGCGGCTGGAGAAGAAGGAGGGGGTTTTCTCGCGGTGTGTGTGAAAGTTGAGCGCCATCAGAGCGTCAGGCCCCACAGAGAAGTAATTGTTCATGGACAGCACCTGAGGAGGACGGAGAGGAAGTTAACCCACAACTCCAACATATCAGGATATCAAAATAAATATCTACCAACTGAGAGTTCATGCTCACCTTTGGCTTGCGAAAGTAGAGGCCTTTTGAAGCCACCTGCACTTTCCACCTGAAGAGGATCAAGTAAATAATGACCAGAAATGAAAGAAACACCAACAAGGCAAGAGCTAGAATCTTACATACATTAAGGTCACATGTACAAAAGTAGGCTAGTGCCGTTTCGTTGTTGTTGCTAATTCTTCATCTAAAGTTTACAAACCTCTTCATGTTGATATAATTACGCATACAGGATTGTCTATTCAATTACAGCTGATCAGGACGTCTTGATCAAAGTAGAAGACTGTTCAATTCCCTGCACCAACCAACTCCAAACTGTACAGAACTCAGAACTCAGAACTCAGAACTCAGGCCTCAGGCTTCAGATCAGATCCAAATATTCAGTTCAATCAAACCTGTTTTCACTTCTAGGACAGATTTTTAAAAAAACATTTTACTGATTTCTTTTCAAGCTTGAACTTTGAGATCCTCACATTGATGTTTTGTCTGTTGTAAACAAACGGGGATAAATAATTTGCTGTCAGGAGGAAAACTTCTCTGTCTTTCTGTTCTTGGCTCTAATGTATTTGTGTCTTATTTATTTTAAACCTAATCATTTTAGACCCTGAACACAACACGGGTCAACATAAATTAAAAAATGTTTTTGTAATTTTAACCCACAAAAACTCAGTCATATTAACAAACTGAAGACAAACAATCATTCTGTGAAAACTCTGCCCAGAAGCAAGTTGTCGTGCCCCCACCTGTCCATTTTGACCACCTCAGCATCGAGGATGTTACGGAGAACCTGTTCCACAGGGATCTCTCCAGCATACCCGGCACCCCAGCCTAAAGTGTTGGAAAGGTCATTTCCTGTCCCCAGGGGCAGGATGGTCACTCTTGGCATAAACTGGTCTTGGCCCTGACAGCAGACAACGAGAGAGCAGTTAGGTGAGCTGTTAAACAGTTAGTGTTACACAAGTGGAGAGAAGAAGTCAAGAGTTGATGTCTAACCTTAAGCTTCATAGTATCAATGGCGTCCAGCACCCAGCCCACTGTGCCGTCACCACCACACACAATCACCCTGACACTGCCGGGGGGCAGTAGGGTGCACAGCTGGAGGGCTTTGGAGGGAGTCAGTTCAGACAGGTCAAACACCTGGAAGACAGCGTGGACAAAAAGACTCAGGTTTTTACAGAAATGCATTCTTGACTAATGCCAAAGATGATAAAAAAAGGATGAAGAGTGCATGTTGGTTTGAAGGATGATTTAGTGCTTCTGACACAAACCAAGAAAAAAACTTTAGACTTACCTGCACTGGATTCAGAAGAGTGCGAAATTCTCCCAGCAGAGCCTCTCCCATGTTGTTCCCACTGCGTGTGTTTGCCAAGACCAAGACTGGAGTCCAGCCACTCCCACAGGAAGAGGCCAGCTACACAAACACACATGACACCAACAAGTCAGCTGACATTAAAACATATCTGATATACAACAGAAAACCAACAGTATCCACTATGCTTAAAAAAAACAATCACATATTGAGCACCTTGCTGTACTCATCCGGTTGGCGGCGGCGGAGCTTGTTGACGTGGTAGAGGTAGTGAGGAGGGATGATGAGGCTGTGGAACTCGCCCAGCTCACACTGCTCTGCGTCGTCCAGGCTCTCCAAGCAGTCATCGTGCACCGTGGTCTGACACCACACACACCTGAAGGAGAGACAAACACATGTTAGGAAAGTACACTCTTAGAAATTTCCCTGTTAAAAAGCGGTAAACAACTGGCAGTAGGGTTGCCAGGAAGTTACTGTAAAATGAACGGTATATTGCTGTTGCTGAAATTTACAGTTTTCTACCGTTTTTTTTAAATACAGCAAAAAGCTGTGATTTTAAACATTAACAGGAAAACACTGTTGAAAGGATTAACTGTTTAATACTGTTTATTTACACTTCTTCACAAGAGGCATATTTGCAGATTTTTACTGTGAATTGTAAATACTACACCTAGCTATATATTCATTTCCTATACAATATATGTATTTTCTAAACCTAGTGGTTTGATTAATGATTCCTTGCATGCCATGTTATAAAACACCATGTTTTAAAATAATAAATAAACAGTGCCTTTAAAATTACAACTTAAAATGTTAAGACAAATGCATTGCAAAAACTACGGCAAATTACCGTTTTGTTTCCTTCAAGCAATAATACAGTAAAATATTGTTATAAACCGTTATAATACAGTAATGTCCTGTTTTTAAACATGACAGGATCACACTGATGAAATGTCCTTGTAAATTTACAGCAATTTCTTAGAGTGTATCAAAATACACTACATCATCTCTTGACCCCCCTTTGGTCCATCTCTAACATTCACCTCTGGCCAGATGTTCTACGATTAGCAATCTACATAACAATATGGGATGATGCCAGCTGGTTAGTTTCTCTCCCACCGAGCAGCAGCAGACGGATTATCATGAAATGAGGATGTGCACCAGTGTGGCATGACAACTTTGGAAGGTTGATGCAGAATATGGGGCGAGGGGGTGGGGGGCTGATACCTCGACCAATGGCAGGTATGTCAATGTGTGCTATGACAGGTAGTCTACGTCAGGCTGCACCTGTAGCGTCTCATACCTGAAGTCACAGAGCTTCGGCTGGGTCCCACACTGCTGTTTGCACACTGTACAGTAGCTAGCTAGGGGGACATTACCGCGGACCCAGCGGTGCTCCATGCCCCCGTCAGGACCGGAGGAGGGGGCCATGATCTCCTTGCACGACAGGCTCCGGTCCGCCCGGCGGAGGCACAGGTCGTCGGCGCACACGCCGCAGCAGTCGCAGAAAGCCCCTTGGAGGATGTGCTGGGAGCAGACGCAGCAGTAGGTGGGCTTGTTGAACAGGTCTGTGTAGTGCCAGCCGTGCTTGCTCTTGCGGAAGAAATCCTTCATGTGCGTTTTCCGCTTGGAGCGCTGCGCGCTGCACCACAGGGTGATGATGACCGGGACGATGACGGCCACAGAGGTCCAGAAGAGGAGGGTCCACTCCTCCCGGGAGCCGCAGTCGTCCTGCACCTCGTCCCCCTCCCTGCACATCTCTGCTGAAGGATGGGGGATGCTAAAGAGCGGAAACTGGTACGACAGGAAAAGCTATGTAAACAACAGCGAGTAGAGACAGGACGTACGCCACGTTTTCTCTGCGACAGCCATGTTCACAAACATGTCCCGGATGCTGCCACTACTTCTATCTTAAAGAGGAACATTTCAGAGTATAACGAGCTATAAACAACAGACACCAGTGTGACGTTTGGCCAATGAGCTACTTCGCAACCCTAGCCTGATCAGAGAGTGTTTCCATGTCAAGATGATTCACCCCACCAACCGGATAAAACGCGCATGCGCACATACATCAACTCTAAAGCACAAAGAACTACGTAGAGTGGGAAAAGTTTTTCAATTCTATACAAAAGAAATTGTGCATTCCATTATTTGAGTCAAATAATTTGAATTATTAAGTTTAAGTGCTCAAGAATGTCTACAGAGTTTGTCAGGGCGGGCAAACCAAGGGTGTTTTTGCTGCATGGAGATCCTTATCCTGCCTAATAAAAACGGATAAAATGTATAGCCTAACTGATTACAGGTAAGCCTAAAATACCTGCATTCAAATTCCTGCTTCACTGAAAGTACAGACGTATGTAGACCTAAGTAATAGTCCAGTCCTTGACAGATACGTCATCAGGTATGACACCAGAGAATTTGAAATAGGCTTCTTATGAATCACTTTGTTTTTAACCTGGGGGTCGGGTCATATTGACATCTGCCACAAGGGTTTTTGAATGACATTTTAAGAGTCAGTTGGATCATTAGGCAGTTTCTATAGCGTAATACTTGACCTTGACCAAAGACGTTGCACTTAAGTCCAGCACTTCTAAGTAACTACATTACTGCCTGGCTTACTTTTCAATATTACTTTTGCAAGTGCAGCATTCTGTTGCTCGACATGTGGAAATGAGCTTAAGCTATAATACATATATGTTATTATGTAGTGCTCTGCCTTTTCCAAATAAACAATAAATGATTAAATGTGCTATAATGCCAAATGTTTTGATAGACTTCTTTAAGTATGAACCCCAGAAGTAGGCTCGTTGTTGAAGACTGGATATTTCCTGTTTGACTTGCGATATACAAGCGACCACGGAAAACAGCAGAGTGAACATCTTACTCTCTTTAACATCTCTGACTGTGAGCTCCTGACGCTCCTGACGTACAGCGTGCAGGCCGAGAGTGCGCATGCGCCTTCAATTCACCGTGAGCTCATAGCGTGTCAGATAATCACATTGAGGGAACAAAAGCTTTCTCTGCCCTCAGGAATTAATCCCAACAACGTTATCATTAAAGTGCGCAGGGTAATGAAGACGTGTGCGTAAAGCATAGGGGGCGGGAAGAAGCGGGAAACGGAAAGGATGACGCACAGTGACGTATTCATTTGAACGTCACAGGCAGTGCTCTAATCCAGGAGTGAAATAGTTAAGTAATAGTAGTAGGCTATATTAAAAACGTAGGCTGATGCTTGGGCAATAAATCCTGTCTTGGTGCATTGTATTTTCTAAATTCTCATTAATTTATGTCAAGCCTGTTAGCCTTTTGGCCCATACTCTTACTGCTGGACAAACCTGCATATAGTGAAAAATGTATTTACGTGGTTTAACAAAATATAGTCCACCAATGTGAAACATATACATTATTAAAAATATGCATAGACATGCTAAATAAATTAAAAAGCTTCTAAACCGGATTTTAACGGAAGTCACATTTTGTTCTGAATTGAAGAGAAGCCATAGACCAGGCTGTAACTCCTTTATTCCTCCTCTGATATTTCATCCATCTATATCCAATCAGAGGTAGAGAAAGATAAAGGATATATAGACTTTTGAAATGGCGCATACTGTGGGTAACCTTCATTTACAAGAAAATAATCCATTTCAAAAACAGATTAGGCTACACAAGTTTTCCTCTGCTAACACATACGATCAGAAGTCCTTTCCATTTGCTAAACAGTGAATTTAATTAAATGTTCAAAACGTCTCCAGAACATTCCCTTTCCCCTAATGACTGGGTTTGCATCGCCATCTAGTGGACAGTCTTCTCCTTGCCTCACTTGATGTTACTGAATAGAATACTGAATTTTGCAAATATGAATATTTAATATAAGAAATGTTAAACTGTATTTTTATGTAAAAGTACATGTATTAGCATTCCTGATGATAGATAGGCTCGTGTATTGATGTTTTATGTTTATTATCTCTCCAGTAACATGAGCAGGTATGTGACAGTTTGTGGTTGACATGCAGGAGGAGGAGGAGAATCTCCCCCTTTACCCCCTTTGGACTCTAGTCACGACTGCAGACCACAGGAGGCTCAGACAGAGAGAAGGTGAAGAAGATGAAGACGCTGGTGGTATTTTCGCTGTGCCTGGTCCTGCTGACCTTCTACACAGGTAGGAAACTCATGGGGGTTTACCGGGAAGAGCAGCAACATGTAATATTGTATTACGGGGCAACATTCAAATCAAAAGGACAATACAGTAAGACAAACCTAATAGGGACATAACATGTTGTAGTTAGAACTGCATTATTAAAGTGCATCCTTATTTTGTTTCATGATTGTATTTGGATGCAAAACTTAAATATCAGAGACTGTGCTGTATTATTTATCCCTGCTGCTTTTAACAGGTCTGATTTCAGCAAACCATCAATCAAGTTTTGTTTATAGTGCAATGGCACAACAAAGGTTATCACGTTACACATCACATAGAGACCAGGTTCTAGATCTTACTCCTTGTTAATTAAGTCACAATTGTAACATTAGTTACAACTGTTGTTGTTGCCATTTAAAGCCACTGTACCTTGTAAAGAATTGGTTAAGCTGAGTTTAGAATAAAACTGAATTTTGCAAGTCTTAACGATCGTTCATGTTTCTTTACATCAAAAGTACGTTTTTCATAATGAGATACCTGGAGAACTTTTTGCCACGTTGCTTTGGGGGGCCCAGGCAGCAGCAGGTCGTATACCTCGTGTTGACAGAGCTGGGTTCACTCACTGCAGCTCCCTCTGGCAGGAGAGGAAGACAGATTCAGCCTGGCTGCCTGGTGGGGTCATGTGCCGCGTTGACCGGGCTCCCTGGAGAGACACCAGGATGAATGGGCACTTTGTTACCTTCCAGCCAAATACCCTGCCTCCTTATGCAAGGCAGAGAGCCCTCACTCTGCAAGGTGTGTCTGTGTGTGTGTGTGTGTGTGTGTGTGTGTGTGTGTGTGTGTGTGTGTGTGTGTGTGTGTGTGTGTGTGTGTGTGTGTGTGTGTGTGTGTGTGTGTGTGTGTCTGTGTCTCTGTGTGTGTGTGTGTGTGTGTGTGTGTGTGTGTGTGTGTGTGTGTGTGAGCTGCACCCTTGGGACTCGTATTGGAAAATAAACAGCCTTACATAGACTGAGTAAACAGATCAGGTCACACACAGCTTTCCAGCAGCAGATCGGGTGAGAGGGGAATTCATGAGTCTGAAAACTGCTATTTTCACCCTGATGAGCCAAAACTGAGCAAACAGCTTTTGTTCATGGTAAAAAAAAAACTCAGGCAGAGGTTGAATGAAGATCAGACCACTAGACCTGATACACTCACTAACATATACCAAACTAGATCATATAAAAACACTGTTTCATTTTCTTTACCCAGTGGTTTTCTTCACAGCACCAACGGCGGTATGGATTTGTGCATCACAAGACATGAGCGTAAACACTGAATCTCCTTGCTGTGAACTTCTTATCTTTCTCTCTCCCTCAGATGCCAACCCTATCATCAAAGAGAGCTCTGCTAAGCAGCTGCTCCGCAGCAAGAGGCAGGAGCGACCAATGAAGGCCGGCCACCCCGATGAGCCAATGAGGGTAAGGTTCATTCAGAGCAAAGAGCACAGACACATTATGGATTTAAGGTGGAGATTGTATAGTATTGATGGTTGATCATGCTGAGTGTGGAGCTTTATGGGCAACAATCTTTCTTTGTTGTATTTGAAAGCACCAATAAAAAATAAGAAGTCATAAACTGCTGTGATGTTCATTTTCAGTGTTCATGAAAATGTTTTTTATCAATAACTATGATTCCTCATAAGGAGCAAAAGATTAGAGAAGTAATTAAACATTTAATTGATTTTTTACAACACTACTCACATCATAATAAATCATACAATGCATTATGACATTGTTATACACAAGCAGGTGGGTTTATTTCAAACTGTTTTTATGGTTTCTCCATAATTTAAAGACATATCTTATTTTTAAAAATGGCATCTTATACACCAACAAGAAGTGATTTATGTGTTACATTTGTTACAATAATGTATCATTATAAAAGCTATATCATAATGTTTAATATTAAGTTGATCATCATGCTGAATATATTTGTCTTCATATAAAGGGATACGTGATTGGTGAGTGTTAGATAAGAATGTTCAGCATATTTTCACACTCATTTTGGATACTTTTCTTTCACAAACTTGGATAATTAATCAGTTAAAAATGTAAATCATCTCTAGTGTGTGTGAGTCAAGATTTATGAGAAAATGTCACAATAACTAACTATACTAAAATAAAGCTCTTAGTCTACAGAGATCTTGTGCAGAAGAGTTTAATGTTTGATAAACCATAAATTAACATCATTTATTATTTAAGTTCTAATTGGAAATCACTAAGTAGAGTGTTATGTTGCTGATGAACAGTTTCTTACATTTACAATCAATTATTTCATCTCTATATTACTTTCAGGGCCTTCTTCAGACGAGCACTTCAGGGAGACTTGAAATCATTAGAAGGAAAATGTTTGTTTAGATAGCTAGATTACAGATCTGTCTTATGAATCCCATGTCAATGTGCAGAGTAAGCCATGTACCTCTAGCCTTCTTCCATTTATTTTCATTTGACCATTTTGTTCTTAGTGCAGCATCAGTATCCATGAAGTCATTTCTCTCTCTCTCTCTGAATCTGTGATGCTTTGAATGTAACCATTCATGACAGTGCAGGTCCAGACAAGCTCACCTCCGTTTAGCTTCCACTCATCTCTGTAATTTCACTTTGTGCTGTCATGTGCACTTTATTCTGCTGTTGTGTTGAAATGCAAACAGGCTGAGCAGAGGACTGAACCGCTCTGCGTCACAGCTGATTAGCTAAAGGTCTCATTTGATCAGCTACAATTCTACAATTCACTTAGCAGACGCTTTTATCCAAAGCGACGTACATCAGAGAGTAAGAACAACACAAGCAAGGATCTAGAAAAAAGGGAACAATGTGAGTAAGAGCAAACGATCAGCTTTGAGTCTGATTGGACACACAGGTGCTGACAGGAAGTTACCAGAGGCAAAGCACAACATTGAGGGCAGTTCTTGAGAGCTCTAATCAGTATAGAAACCATCTTATAAGTCGTCGTTATCAAACAAAAACCATCGTCATTACCATCATCATCATCAATAATATGGAGACCATCATCAGCTCTTCGGTTGTTTCTTTATTTCTCATCTCTCTTCACCTCCACTTTGTTCACCCATTCCCTCCCTATACAGGAGCATCTTCTGCACATGCAGGCTCTGGATCAGAGGGCCCAGGAGACCAATATGGAGAACTGGCTGAACCCTCACTGCTACCCCCGCTGTGACAGGAACTACGGATACCCTGTGTGATCAGGTCACCACTAGCGTCTACTTTCAGGACCAACTCCAAATGTTTGATGCACATGAAAGCACACAGTAATGTAATGATGTGCACTTACATAGCTACATGATTATTCAAAGGACTTCTAATCATCTGTTTAACATCACACAAACTGTCAGTCTTACAGATAACATGTAACAACTTGCAACACCTAATCACATTTCTAAACATCTCCAGGCTATTCCTGCGTCATTCATACAAAATGAATCTTTTACTTCCTGATGATTTTAGACATGTTCTGCTTTGTCATAAACAGAATGTTTAAGTCTTTGTTTGTCACTGCTGTTGGGTTATTTCTCTTCCTGATTTGTGATTTTATCATGAATACTTGGCACAGCAGGAAACCACAGAAACAAAACTGTTTCTGGCTCAGACTTATGGTGTCAAATATTCAACACTGTCTGTTACCGTCCTTCAATCATCCAAATACAAACTGGATTAAAATCAACATTTTTCATTTGTTGATAGATGTCTTTAGTCGTTCAGTTCATCTACAATCTTTAGGGTGCTTTTGAAAAGGCCTGAATCAGCTGGAAACCCTCGAAACCCAGACAGCATCAGTATAAAAGACCACAACAGACATATTAAAGGGTCTGATTGTCATTGTTTGAATGGTTCTTGTTTGTTTTCACAGTGACAGACCACAAATGAGGACATGGATTCCAGACGGAAACAATAAAAGGATGAAATACTCTCTCCTGAAATGACCTCTTGATGTCTGCTGACTAACTCATATATATAATCTAATAACAGCTGTGTAGTTTAGTGTCTTTAACATCTCTATTGTGTTCTACCAACATTTATGAATAAATCATAACGCATGAGAGCCTCTGCTGTGTGACTGTTTTGTTCATCATCATCATCATCATCATCATCATCATTATTATTATTATGTTGGTATTAATAAATCAAACGACCAACAGGATGAAGAAGTGATAAAACTAAAGGCTGCCAACATTTTTCCTTCAGTAGGCAATATTCTTTCTTTCAGTTTTTCTTCCTGAGCTAGCCAAGCTGTAGCCACCAGAGAATTGTTTGCTCCTTATGTCATTAGGCCCATATAGCAGATAGAAAATGACTTCGTGCGTTCACCCTTTAGGGATTATAAGATAGAATGTTTTTTTGTTTCTTTATTTTTGATTGGTTGAAGGCCAGGAGCTGCTGTGTGATCAAAAGCCCATATGGACATTTTTATTTCGATTAGGTCGGTTTGAATATCTGCACAATAAAGAGTTTAAAGGCATCTAAGATAGACTGCTATTACAACATTATCCTAAAGGTAAACCTGTCATAGATGCAGAGGGGTAATAATAAGAGTCACTTACACTGCGTAGTGAGGGGAAGCAGACCTTTTAAAAGACCCGATCGGGGGGAAAAAACTCGAATGAACGCAATCTGAAATGAAAGCCGATCTAGAACAATGCTGTTAAATCAAACCATCAATCTTTATTTGTAAAGCGCACATTCAGAACAAATTCTATCGCAAGGCACTTTACAAAAGAGCAGGTACAAGATCTACACTTAATTAGGATAGGCCTATATATTATACAAAGACAATGTTATAGGCCTATGCGTTAATGCTAAAGGAGAAGTGACGCTTATTTAGAAGGAGTTAAATAAAAAGGTAAAAGAAGGCCTAGAGAATGAGTAGCCTCGGTGTTTTTCTGTTGTAATTATCACATCTCATTACTTATTTTAAACAGCGGCATTTAGGGCGCCATAGACTGCATTAAATAAAGTACCACAGCATATTCTGAACTGGCCCAGCGGACTTTATTCTAGGCCTATAGAGAGAAAGAAGATCCTTTTTTTTACTGACATGAAATAAACAGAAATAAAAGTGGGCCTATAGCCTTTGTGCTAAATGAGCGGACTATGGTCATATAGCCTGAGGCCTGTAGGTTTAACTCATATACCGTTATCACAGTAAATATCATCTTCAGTGGAAGATTAAATGAAGCCTGTTGTAAATAAGTCCACCGCGTTTTTATGAAAAGCCAGGGACAACACGAAAAAACCTAAATCTCCCTGACATTATAGGTTGGCTTTGAGGCCTTCATTACTGCAATAACACGTTTTGAATGAAAAAAAATCGAAATCTCAATTGAAGTGATTGGTGGGTTCAGCTGTCTTCAGAGCATTTTAAAAGACCCACAGCAGACCGATGAAAAAGACTGATGATGAAACACTTAACACAAATAGACACAAAATGAGAATATTCAAAGGATTTATTTCAACAGCGTCTACAAAGCTATTTGACACCAACTCCATTTATTAGAGCGAACTTTTTTTATGAAAATGTAAAATATAGCCTACTATGTTATTGGTGAATGTTAGAGTTATCCCAACACGGTATCCATGATGAATTTATTCATTCATTCTTCTCTTAAGAAATGTTAAAGACGCAACAAACTCGGGAGTCCAATTCGGTCTTTGAACGCAGCAACCCAAATGGATTCCTCCTTCATAATACTTTCCAATTCAAAGTGCTTGAGTCCATTCTTTAAATAATCATTCTATAATTAAACAGGGTCTCTTCAGTCTAATAGGTTCAATTTATAGATAAATATTCAACACACAGATTGAATTTAATATTCAAGCCTGGCCTCACTTCACACATATTCTTAGCATGATGAGCGCAGGCTGGAAGATATCTGAGTGACAAAAATACATTCTAGTTAGTTGCAGTTGAAAAAATAGTTAAATTCACAAGCTCTGTACACAAAGTAGCTAAGTGCTGCAAAGAAAATGTGCAACCCATTCATGTTCAACCAATGCAAAATGTGAAATGTTTGATTTGGTCAATACAATAAACAGACGTCCCACTTTATAATATATACAAATGCACATAACATATTTAGCTTTTATACATTTCATACAAAACAGCTTTTCCTAATGATCACACTCTGTATAAACTTTGAATGATTCTGATGCAGATCAGAGAAAGCAAAGCGAAGCGTAGAGAAAAATCATTCCAGCGATCATCTTTTGTCTTTGAAGAAGCCTTTGGACGTGCTGCTCTCTTTGATAGTGACAGTCAGGAAGTTGGTGGTCACGTCGGTCACCAGAACCTTCTCCACATTACCGAGGGAGGGCTTCCACGTCACCTCATCCACTTGTGCGTCGAGCCTGGTGGGAGACGGCCTGTCTAAGAAGTAGGGCTTCTCCATCTGTGGGAGCTCCAGTGGGCGACTCGGGTTCTGGCTCATTTTGGACCGGTGCTTGAAGTGTGCAGGAGCCAGGTAGCTGGAGCTGTCCTTAGTCCCGTGTGTGTTCATGTCCACTCTGTGTGGGTGCAGGCCGCGGTCTGCGTAAAACTGCTTGTGGGAACCTCCACCTGAGGCTCCTATGTTGTGTGTGTGGTGATGGTGGTGGGGGTGGTGGTGGTGTTTATGACTTTCTGGATGTCTATGGGCGACTCTGACCACCCTCATCTCCTCCACCCCCTGGTATTTTGGCACCTTGTACTGGCCCAGCTGCGACTCTGCTCTCCCCCTGTGTGGCTCAGGGGCCAAAGGTCTGCAGCTGACGTCCTTGAAACGGGGCTTAGGCTTTGGGCCTCTTTTTTTAGGTGCATGGATGAGTCCGTCTGAGCTGGTTTGCTGAAGGAAGGGCTGCTGGTACTCGCGGATGCTAAGTTCTGGTGGTCGGTGACGAACACTTTCCCCACGGTTGACAGTGCTGGGAGGGAAGATGGTGGGAACAACGGCCCTCAGACCCTCTCTGGCTCTGGGGGTGACTATCAGCTCTGGGGTTGGGTAGGTGATGTGCATCCCTCGCACTGCGTCACTCCTGAACTCATAGGACTTGGCTTTAACTTTAGCCTGGGCCTAACACAAGTCAGAAAGTATGATTTTTTTTAAAACTGAACAATAAAATAACTTTTTTTTTTTCAATTCTTCAGTTTTTAGACAACTACAACAAGGCCTTTTTTTATAGAACACATTTGAAATTGTCATAGTAAGACAGCAATAACAGTGTGACAGCGAGTCAGCATGCAAAATACCAGGAACCCAAAAAAGCTTAATGGAGTTAAAGCATTATTTTAATTTATTAATTCAAATGTGTGCTTTCCATACAACCATATGTCAAAATATCAGAGCTAAAAAAAAGGACCTGTTGATATTTAAACACTGCACATCTATGATTTGCATTGGGCACATAATGTATGGTGTGTGAGAAAAAAAATTAAAGGCAGCATTTTTGTTGCTGATAACTACAGCATGCAAACGTTTCCTGTCAGGCCACAGAAATTATCTGGGGAAATTCCACAACATTGTTTTAGCAACAGCCATGTCAAGGAGATTCTGGTGGTTCAAGACAAGCTGTCGGCACATAGAGCCATTTTCACGGTTGTCCTGAAAAGCTGAAAAGTCTTGCTAACAGCATCAGACTGTGAAGCTCGATTTAACAGATTACATTCACTTTACACAGAAATCTTTGTCTTCCTGAGATCAAGCTAATTATAATTCAAGATAAACAAATACACTTTCACTTAATGAGTACAACAGGATTTAATGACTGTTTGTTAAAGGCATTTAAACCTGTCATGGTATGTCAACAGATCCCCATTAGCTAATCCACAAACTGAGGACACAGCCATTCATCGATGCGCTCTTTTGAATGTGCACAATTAGCATCAAAACAGTGACCTGTGCATTGAGGGAAAACAGCACCTGTAAAGTTACTTGCAAAAAAATGTATTTAAGAGAGCAGAAAAGGCATGCAACAGGTATGAACATGTGACAAAGCTGCAACATTTACCTTGAGCAGAAATGTCTTGGGTTTCGGTCCTCTCTTTTTTGGCCCATAGAGCTCCCTTTCACGCTCTCTGTGCAAAAAAAAAAGAAATACGGTGACACCCCTTTCCAGTGTCATGGGAGCAAAGTGCACCGAGGACACTATATATTTATTATTGTGCATGTTGACATTCACTGGATCCAGCCCAGATATATCTTACCTCTGCTCAAACGCGACGAACAGGCGGGAGTCCAGAATGTTTTCCTCTGGTTCCCAAGTGCTGTATCTGTAATGTTAAAGAAGAAGACTGAGGAAACAAGCTGCAGACTCACACTGTAGCGTTAGCATTAAAGCTAAAATCTCCATCGTTTTAATGTGGCTGTAGCTTTGACGAGCTAACAGTACAGACTGTGCAGAAAAACATGCAGAGACACACTGTAGCAGCACTTACTTGGGAGACCAGCCCTTCCATTTTACAAGGTATTCAATCCGACCCTGCATGTGCAGAAACAAACATTACATCATTAGCTCTCTGTGCAGCAGTAAAGCGATATTAGTGCATTATATTAAAATACCCTGTGAAAAAAGGGGGCACTACCTTCCTTATCCTCCGTTTGATGATAGACTCGGCTGCGAACACCCTCTCCCCGACAGCAGACAGCTCCATGTTTACTCCACTAACGACCTCCCGTTAGCTTGCTGCACAGCTAACGCTAGCCGAGCAGATATTTTTCTCCACTCTGAATTCCCGACAGACCATAATACTCCGAATAGAATGGACGTCAGCGCAATTTTTTTTTTTACAACGTTGCTAAGGAACCGCAGTCGGTGGAACACTCTAGGAGAACGCCCATTGGCCCCGGCCGTTGCTACGTGCTGGGGTTGCTAAGTGAGGGGGAGGAGCTTGTGTGCCTGTGTGTGGATTCTTTCGGAAAGGAAGGGGAGACAGTGGCTGCATTTTTCCCCCTGCGCGGAGTGTGAATTATTTCGCGCAATTTTAACGAGATATTGAAAATGCACGTGTTGTCACAAGGCTGTAGCTATAAGTGCTGCGTCAATGTCGTCAAGCAAATAATGAAACCAGGAAATAACAGTGCTACAGCGAAGGCTATATGAGACCTCGTTTTTCGCTTGTCTATCCAGCGACGCGTCTTTCTACCAAAGGTGTTAACTCCATCAGAGGCTTACTATTCCCAAACACACAGAATAGTCTACGTTACAATTTCGCCTGCCTGCATTTATTTCGTTTGTTCCTGCTCTTTCGGGTCAAGCGTGGAGGATCATTTTGCCTTTTATTCTGTCAGGCGAAACCATTGGCCTACACTTTAGTTTTCATGTCGTCAATCTAAACGTGCTTTGTCGGGTTTAGGCCTTTACTTTCAAGTCACGTTTTAAGACAAACTTATACATTTGTTACCAATCTTAGGCTACTGATTGTAGTTCAAAACATACCCGCCTCTGGCTTTACATTTAGGATAAAATCAAAGACCAGCTGTCACACACAGAAAGGTTGATTTGGGTAGCCTACTTGTCTTATTGTGTGGTCAATTAAAAAGTATAGGCTATGGCCTAATATTTGCTAATAGCCTTTATTGTGGTAATTATTTGGTCATGGCAAAAATAACATCAAGTGCACACATCGACACCAGCGGTCAGGAAATGTGTCATAATAATAAGCTTCCACTTCCCTCTCTAGAGATGACAAAACAGGTGATGTCTAAAACAACTAAATAGTTCTGGCTTCCGTGGTCCAGTTCTTTTAAACCATGACGAGCTCAGAAAGAGAGCTAGAGAATGATCTCAAATAATAAATGGATCAGATCTGCAGTCCCGTCTGCAGGCTGGAGCCTAAATACTTTTTAGAAGAAAGAAAAAGCCTACATGAATAAAACAAGTAGGCCTCATTATATTGAGGCATACTTTGAATGAAAACCAATAATAATAATAATAATAATAATAATAATAATAACAATAACATAACAATAATAGCCCTTATAATAAATTCGTTGCATGGGAAGAATCAACACTATTAAATATATATTTTTTGCCTTATTAGTTTTTCAAAAATAATTAACAAATGGTAGACTGTTAGTTGTCTTTGAAAAAATAAATTGCCAATCTTCGTTTGACCTGAAATCTTTTTTTTTTTATCCATCTACTTGATTTGAATAAAACGGAAGGAAACAGCATAATGCGAATTTCCCTCCCAACATAAGCATGTTTTTATTTTTGATTGTGCTCAGTCTTCTGGAAGCGAGTGGCGTATAATTTCAATTTTATGAATCGATATTCAGGTGGAAAAAAAAAAAACTCAGTAGGCCTATAAATAACGCAGTAGTTGGATTAATAAACAAAATCAAGCCATGAAAGATCAACGTTTGAAATCTGTCTCTTTAAATAGCATAGGCCTACTTTCATTTTTTTTTTTAGATTTCTAAAAGACAAACTGCGACATCATGTTACACAGTCACTTAAAGAGCATACAGCCTTTTATTTCTGAAATCATCATGTCGTCACGATCATACAATATTTTTCCGTCTTTTTTCAGTAGGCCCAAACATATGGCCCAAACGACAAAACTTTAGCCATGAAACTAGAGATGGTGATTGTACACCTAAAATATTATCGACGTTGACCTTCCTAAAATGACTCATACCGAGAAACTTCAGGAAGTGGAGCTTTGGGGCCTACTGTTCATTTATCACTCGAGCCCACAGCATCGGAATTAGGCCTATAATAACAAAACCAAAAACTCTGATTTGACAATGAAGGGTTAGTGATATAGACTACACTGATCACTGACATATTTCTATTCACCTGCAACTCAATATTGTCCTTATACCTCATAGCCTAGTGAAAGTTAGTCAGATGCAGAGTTGATTAATTGGATTGAGTCAATGGCACAAATACGCTGACGCCAAAACTAGAATTCAATCTAGGCTACATTTTATCAATGTTTTTATTTCTAATCAATGAAAATTAATAAATAAACAAATAGCCTACATTTACGGAAAAGCGGCAGTTTATAAAATCTTACAGAATGAAGAGGAGGACGGTGTCACAATCTTTGCTGTTTTATGCGTAAAGCCCTCACAATATAGCCAAACTGAGGATGTCAGCCAAAAAAACCAAAACATTAACTACTGTACTTAATTAGCGGAAGGGAAGGTCATGGAAAAAGTGATTCCACCAAAAAACAATTTTAGTTTTTGGAAGATGTCCACATTCGATAAAGATCCACAATCCTTTAATTGAGTCTTTTAAGGGCGACGTGTTTTCCATGTGAAGGACGCCGTCGGTCTTAAATGATCTAGTTTCTGATAACAATCCTTTTTCCTGTCCATGTCGTTTTCTGCGCTGCTAAACCGCACTGTACAGACAGAAAGGGAAAAACAGGCGCGCCTCAAACTCTGGATGCGATTGGTCTCGGCGCGTCTGCAGTGCAGCAGCGCCTCCGCCGTTTAAACACTATTGGTTGGCTTGTATCCGGGCAAGACGTGGATTCCTGTATTAACCTGAAACCATCGTCACGCCATAAACACGCTGATATCTCACTTACATGTATATGGACGGACAAAGACAGAATCAGTTTGTGTTATTCGTCCCCTTTAGATCAGATGTTTTGTTGAGACAGGTGCGACGATAAATCGAAAAAGTCGTGCCGAACGTTATGTGAATCAAACTAAACAAACATTAATGAAAATTCCTTTAATAAAAAAATCTTTTAAAAAAATGAATGGGGAGTTGAGGACACGTCAGATTCACAGGTTATGAACACACACTTTGTTTGTTTTCTTCGTTATTTGGCATTCGGGTTCACGCGGACAAGTTATTTCCTTAAACTCAAAATATTCTTTGCTAATTTAATGACCAGGTTGGCAGCAAATCCTCAGAGTAACTCTCTTTCAAAAGCACTAGAAACACAGGCTATAATACAAAGAGGATGAACATCAGCATGTGCGCAGATATGTTTGATCTATTTCGTCCTTGTGCAACGCATAGATCTCCAATTAACCACACACGCAGAACAAGACAGGTTGTCTTCTATAAGCACTCACAGGTCTGAGTTTTACATCACACCAACATCTGTCTTTATTTACGTGCCTGTTTTGATGTGCTCAGTTTGAGCACTGCACGGTTTTTCTGTTGTTCTGAAGCCTTTCCAAACGGAAGAGCCACCCCAACATATAAGCTACCTATTCAACTGAATATTTGACTTTTGTCCACACCGAAATGATTGCTCACATCCTGCTTTCTACACAAGAATTAATCTTACAAGTTGGAGTTTTCCTCCAGAAAAAAAACAACAATAAAAGCGAGTTGGCCTATAGATGTGTAAAAAAATGTATCTAGAATTAAAGGTTGAAGAAGCAACACTTCACTGCTGAGACAACAGCATTTTACATCTCACTTAAACATTCAAGAATCTGCAAGAACATTTGGTTGTGGGGTTGAGACACCTGTTGGTTGATCATTTTCAATTAAACATTCACAATCTGGCATAATGCGTCCAAACTGCTTTCCTGTTTTTAATTTATCACCGAGTTATTCACGAGGCTGGACATTTACAGAGGAAAAGAGTGTGTTTGTTATAATGCAAATATCTGGAGACAAAGCAAGAAGATGAGTGTGAAATGCAAGTGCAGCGTTTATGATGGAGATTCTTCTTATTTATCTGGTTAATAAAGCTGAGCTGACATTTCTGTGTAGGCTCCTCTGACCAGTTTTTGATGGTGAAATTGAAGGAATGGGTAAGTGCTCTTTAAGGCATTGAACGCATTGTAACTTTTTAAGCCTCCGTTTATAGGCAAGTCAAATGCTTGATTTAGAAATCTGTGAAGCCCTCCACCAGCACCAAATAGAGGGGATCAATCTTTATGTCTCTACCACTCATTTACAAAAAGATTTCCTGTGTAAACCTGCTGGTTGGAAATCTATTGCACATGTAGAGACCGTTTAGGCTGCGGGCCTAACTCAGTCATGCATGCAGAAATTCTGCAGGAGCAGGCGGGAGGCAGGAGGATGAGGAGGAGAAGAGGAGGGTGGCTCATCATCATGAAGACGTTGTTGTTGTAAACACAAGCCAAGGCTACTTCTTTTATTTTGGCCTATCGAAAAAAAAAGCAGCCCACTGTGTCGGAGCGTTGCTTGTTATTTTTTAATAACACGGGAAGAAAAACAAGTCATCTGAGACTTGCAGGGAGTGACGTGGAGTAAATCCTGCGGGGGAATTTCCGCGCTGCAGCTTCTCTGGTGAAACCTTGTTGCAGTTATTTGTCGGCTGCTGCAGCAGCTGCGAGGCGTTTCTCAGAGACTGAACAGAAAGTGGATGGAGAGGAGGGAGGACAGCCATTTTCTTTGTCGTTGCTCACATTAACGAGAGCAGAAAGCGGGTTTTTTATTGGCAGGCTGCTGCAACCGAGGAAATGGAAGAGAGCTGCTTCCCCGACGTCGGATTCCATACTTGATGCGTTCACGGCGTCGGAAAAAGCGGATATCATTCATTAGCCCTCACGTTTACAAGCATTGTAAAATAAACCGATGGGGTCGGGATTATAGGGAAGGCTACATGCTGCTCCTTTGCACAGTTTTTCATTTTGAACGCCCTCTTGTTCTTCTGAGAAACAGCGGCTCATAGGCTACACAATCACACGTTAAAGCTGAACCTGCAGGTTGAACACTGCTGTGTCTCTCTCAGCATGACAGCAGGATATATCCAACAAACATCTGACACGGACAGCTGTTCAGGTCAAAGTTATGAGCTTTGAAAGACTTAATAGGATATCGTCTTCCAAAATTGTGCGGGTTAAGAGAGTTGATGATGAAGCGTCTTATTTAACGACATACATCTCCACATTCTCTTTCTCAAATCAAAAACAGGTTTTTTTTTTCATAGCCTATGGCCTCTTGTCAAAACGACCAGCTGTTCCAATTGACACATTCTTCTTATTGTAGAATTTAGCAGCAAAATGCCATTTATAAACTTTGAATTTGTTGCGAATCTTTAAAAAGAATGAAAATGTTTTCCTCTCCATGCCTTAGCTCAACAGAATGAGGCAAATAAGAGTCCATCTTTAAACATGTAGGCTTTGTAGGAATCCACACGGCCCGCTGTCTACACACACACACACACACACACACACACACACACACACACACAGGTTCACAAATAGCAACAGTTTGCGGTTTTAAAAAGCACAATTGTGGCCTTGTTAAAACGTGATTCTCAAGGCCAAGGTCACATGATGAGAACAGTACGATTTTTTTTGTGTAAGAACATGTCAGTAGAAAAAGAAAAGCACACCACACAAGTCCATTAAACACTAGCAAATATGTTTATTATTCCAAAACGTATCATTGAAAGCCTTCATTTCTTTAAGGTCTGCACACAAAAACATAAAAAGTGCATCTGATCTCACAGAGCAGTTAAACGCAGCTTGGATCACAAAGTGTTGGGAGGGGGTTTCTAACAAAAAGAGAACGGATTAGTATGTAACAAGGGTACAGATCTGTTTATGACAAGAATTTGTGCTTTCTGTACCTTTAAGTGACTCAAAATGTGACAATTAGAAGCAAAATGAAATTCCTTGCGTAAAGGCAAACATGTCAAGACGCCAAGAGAATAGAAACGTGAAATTCTGAATCCTGAAACCCCCATTTGTTGGAACAGACCTGTTAGGACACACAGCTCAACTTGCAGTGTTACAATACTATGGGAAACATAAAGTTTAGTCACTGCATTGTGTCAAAACTTAGAATAAAGTCACAAGGTTGTAGTTTGACTGTTAGAACAGAGTTCACTTGTGCTCAGGATCAGCTGCTAAGTAGCATGACTCAAAAACACCTTTTCTCCAGTCAGAGCAGACATCAAACTTTAACCATAAAACAATCTTTCATTCACAAACCAGAACATATTCTCTTTTTTTTAACAATGCAGATCACATTGCGAGTGACAGAGAGGCGCTTCATTTTTCTTTATCCGCATGTTTAAGCATGCCTAATGGCACAATCTGTCCCAGCAGCAATCACCCTTGATGAAATCTTGTCCATCTGTTCTCACACTCGTGCTCGCACACACAAACAAACCCATTCACACACACACACACACACACACACACACACACACACACACACACACACACACACACACACACACACACACACACACACACACACACACACACACACACACACACACACACACACACACACACAGTGTAATTTACCATGTTTCAATATAATTTGTCTTTCATACAAAACTCTCCATAAAGCCTATTTGTTGAACATTATCTGAGATGCAGACAGTTGAGTGTACAATCAAATTACATCCATAGAAAAGGATTAAGTGCATCTCCAATAGAAGTTCTGGCATTTATTTGACCTAATTAGTATTTTTTAAACTAAGCTGTAATTAGCTACTGCATGTAATTAAAATCTCCAGAAATAGCAACAGGTAGAGCTGCAAATAACGCAATAGAGGATCTTTTTTTTTTTTTTTAAATCCAAACTATAGAAAAGGAAAACATCAAGGTTCCATTTGTACATTCAATCATCTGAAAATACAAATATATCTCATTTACATTTATACAGTTACACAGTTTACCCAGTCCAGTTACACAGCTATGTATTCCTTAAAGGTGACTGTGAGGCAGTTTGTAGTGATGTCAGTGATCACAATATTTCCCAGGAACGGCTTGAAAGAGGGAAAGGAATCGTCTGTTTTCTTTTCATGGTGAGTCACAGACAACGAGTTGACCTTTTCTTCTCCTGTAGCATTTTCTGTTTCAGTTTGATGCTCAGTTTCTGTCTGTGCCACATGTGTCATGGCTTGTGTGTCTGTTTCTTCCTGTGTAGAAGTTTCAGTGTGTGTAACAGTTTCAGTCTGCTTGTGTGTCTCAGCCCGAGTTGGGCAATGCCTGGACTTTACAATGCTCAAGTCCATAGGCTCCTCCTGGTCCGTGTACTCACAGACTGGCAGTCCAATGGGACTCTGGTGTCCGTTTTGGGCCACGCTGACGCTCTGGGCGGGAGAAGACACCGGGTGAGGTGTGCTGATACTCCTGGTGCTGAAAAACCTTTTACTGCTCCCGTGCTCCTCAGAGTCAGAGTCAGAAAAGTGCCGCTTCAGTCCCTGAAATCCACCTTGGCTTCCTTGTATATCCGCTGAGTGGGGAACCCCCCTGTCCAGAGGCAGGGGGAGCAGATTAGATTTGGTTGTCAATTGTAAAGGCTGATCCTTCGGAAGCTGCCCCTGACCCCTGACCTCGACATGTTTATCCCGTTCCGTCACAGTCGGCTCAGTTTTTGGGGACTGCTCTTTCTCCCGGGGGTGATCTCGGCTGAATCCAGAAGTAAGAACGGTCGATTTGTCTTTGAGCTTTTTTGCAAATCCGTTCATGAGGCCGAGCTTCTTGACGAGTCTCATCTTCTCCAGATGCTCCTCCGCGCTGCTGTCAGTCCTCTGCAGGTGCTTCTCAGCGCTTCCTGAATCCCCGTTTTTAATCTTGGTCGCCTTCATCCCGTTCTCCATGTACTTGCTCATGACTATCACGATCCGCCCGTTCTTGTTTTTGTTTTTCACAATCTTGAGCTTGCTGCTGCTGACACCGTTCGACTGTGTTACAGCGTCCTCTTTAGGTTTGACCCTCTCTGGCTCTCCATTCAGGTCCGCTGGAAGCTTCTTCAGCTCCATGGTGATATCCTTTACTTTGGTGAGGCAGCCTGAGTCTTTGTCCCGCACCCACTTCTGCTGCAACACCGGGGGAAGGTTGTACCCCTTGTTAGCCAGCTCCGGAGCTTTCACCTCTTTGGGTTTAGCGAACATGGGCTCGTGCACCTTGAGGTCCGGCTGGTAGTGGTGGTGCTTCTTGCTGTTGAGCTGATAGTAGAACTTCTTCCCGGTGGCCTGCTGCTGCTGCTCGGCCTCGCGCTCACGACACAGCGGCTGGTACTGGTGGTGCTTCTTGCTGTTCAGCTGGTACTGCTGACTCTGTGGGCGGAGCATCTGGATGGGGCTGGTCTTCTTACAGCTGTCATCGTCCAGGGTCGCCCCGTGGAGGTCTGCCAAAATACTGGATCTCCGTGCAAAGGATGGGACCTGTGGAGAAAAATCAGTGATTTGTGTTATTAATAGAGCACTACAAATATATACAGCTCCAAGGATTCAAATGAAGAATAGTTTTTACAGAAGTCCCTCATAGAAGGACTCTGATTAATGCTACAACCGTCTACAGCATCTATACATGTGTCTGTATCAGGCTGTGGTTCACTGTGCCTGGAATGTGTGAAGAGGCTCTTCTGAGGCCCCCGATGTGCAACACAGTTTATTTCAGGGGCCCCTCGTCCATGTTCACACAGCCCTCCTACAGCTCCTGTGCATCTCTTTCAGCCACCGGCCTTGGCCGTCAGAGTGACATTTCAAAGTGTCTCCTGTGGCTGTGACCTCAGCTCAGAGGAATGTCACTGGCTGCTCGGTGTCCCGTCATTGACTTTATCCAATGTGTTACCACCAACACCCTCCTGAGAGGAACAAAAACTCTCCCCTGAGGGGCTCCTCACGGCCCTTTTGGACGGCTGATTGATGTGCTTAATGTACAATTCACAGTCATTCAGATACAACTGTTAGGTCAGACAGGTGGTCACTATAACATTAAACAGCGATAATAGTATGTGTCATTTGTTAAAAACTGTTTCATCTAAAGCATGCCAACAACTGATTTTACACATTAAGATCAGTTATCCTCTCTTGTCTACTTAAATGTTTTATAATGCGCATACTTCATTGTGTGGCTCTGATGGAGGGAGTCTTATAATTATGAGAAGATAACCCCCAGGAGCTTTAAATTCACAACAGGAAGCCTGCATTACACATTGATGTATTGAGTTAAAGGCATGTTTGTCAGTCAAGGAGTTTTAACAAATGATGCTTTTGAGTTTCATCATAGGAAAGTGTGTTTAGAAATAAGGATATCTGAACTATGTTGCTTCAATTTTGCCAATTAAATAAAAAAAATCTCTCTTATATGAATCCAATAAAGTTATGGAAGTTATGGAAGTTAATTCTACAAATCTTTTCTATACCAGGAATGCCATATCTTGTCAATAGTGCTTAAAAAAAAAAAAAAGTTACAAAGTTACTTATTCTTTTTGAGGCAAAGATGTTGGTTTTTAATGTCCAGATGTCCTCTTCCACAAATGGAACAAATACAACCATGCAGCATGTTGCTGTCTTTTCCATTTGGGTAATATTAAATCACATTAGTTTCTTTGGTTATATTTATAAAAGCATACATCCCTTTTTGGTATTTGAAAGATAATTTGTGCATTTGAATGGATTTGTAAGCGTTGCAGCAAGTTATCATTTCATTCACTGAGACACTTTCTCACCTGAACCAGGAGGTGCTTGGGCTTTGGTCCTCTCTTGCGATATCCCATCAGCTGTTCTTGACGTTCCCTGTTGGAGAGGAAAACAGCAGCCAATCAGTAAAACCATCTCCCAGAGATGAGTTGCATGGCAACACAGCGTCACGGGTGTCCTCCTCTGGCTCAATTAGACAACACTGAGCCTGTTACAGGTTGGAGTTACACTTTCAGACCAACTGTTTCTGTCTTTTCACAGTAACCTATAGACTTTCTTTATACCTCATCACACTTGTGCTGAACTACTGGAGAGGACTCTACTAAGAAAAGGGTAGAGTGGCTTCAAACGAGGGTCTTAAATAACACTCATATCCACAGTAGAAGATAAAGGCCAACTCATTTTCTGACTTTCCACAGCTCTCCTCAGTCTCCATGCATGTTTCTCCAAGGCAGTAACTCAATACCACAGACAGAAGTGATGTCAGTCCCCTCCCCCACCCTCCTCCCTCACATCTAATTACAATGACGACTCAGTGTATTTTCATAGCCTGGAATTCAGACGATTTGGCTCCCCAGAGAGACACGCAATTAGTTTCAATAAAATCTCTCCTCTTTAGAGAGGGAGAGGTAATTGCAAAAACAGACACAGAGTGATGTCGATGTTTTGCTTTAACGTGTGACCTGCGCCCTGAAAGGTTGCTGTAAGCGAAAAGCTGAGGGAGGCTATGGGAGGAAAGCCAGTGACAGTTTAACATGCCATGCCTGGAAGAAATTCAATTACACTGTCCTTCATATGGAGCTCGCTGCTCAGTCACTCAACAGACTATTTAGCAATTAGCCAAGTGGCTAATTCCACCATGGTAGCCTAACACTGAGTTCATTACTAAAAAAAACACACGAGTCATTCAAGCTCAAATGTTAGATGGTGTATGCAGCTCTGGTTTTAAACAAGTTACTGTTCCTTTAATCCTCATTTCCTCTTGAGTTTCCACATTACCATGAGCAGATTAAAACAACAAGATGTGCACCATCATATAGTGTCCCTCTCCACTTAAAGTGTGTTTTATTTATTGTTGGTTCACCATCTCTGTCCAACACACACACAGTGAGGATGACATGTCAACTGAAAATGTAATCACACAGATCAAGTATTTTTCAACAAGGGACAATAAGTAGATTAAGTTCTGATCCTTTTCAACTCACTACAACTACATCACTTTATTCTATCCTTTCTATATCAGTATTCATACAGTTCTGGTTACTTTATTCCTGTTGTTCTTATCCATCATTGCACTACGGTCACTTTATTTATCTCATTTTTACCTTTACAGTTATATTGTATATATTAGTTCTGTTCTTCCATTATTCACCATGCACCTTATTAACTTATCATTTAGTATTTGCCTACTTGCACATAGTTCTGTATATATATATTTATTTCTTGTTTACTGCACATAGTTCTGTTTACATCTGGTCACTACTGCACATAGTTCTGGTTACATCTGTTTACATCTGTTAGTCCGATCACTGTCCACTTATATCTGCTCTTTTATATTTTGTATTTCGAAGTTAAGTTTAAGCTTTAAGTTGTATTTAAATTGACACTTTATATTTAGGTTAAAATGTTTCGTTTTCTTGCACTGTTGTTAATTTACTGCTCTGTGTGCCTTTGAATTGCCCCCCGGGGACAAATAAAGTTTTTTGAATTTAATTGAATTGAACTCATCAATGTAACATTAGGTCAAACGAGTAATCATGTGAGATCATTCAAATTCATGTAGTTGTCATATTTTTTCCAAACATTTATGTAGGGGTTTCTGAAAATAGCTGTGCGAGTCTGAAACTCTGGAGGAAACCCCCTTTGAGTTTCGAAATTAACAAATAGTCAACCAAAATTTTTGTGTTTTAGCTTTGTCATTTATCCCATCCACAAAGACTTTGTTCATCTGTCACACTTCCTGTTGAAGACACTCAGGTGCATCTGGTGGGACTGCAGGTAGTGTGATAACCTGATGCTGACACTTAAAAGAACTATCAGGTGACAAAAACCAGAAGCAGCAAAGCAACACACTCTAGTTTACCCCTAAACTGACCCTAATGTTAATCCTAATCCAAACCCCCACAAGGCACTGAATATGTACACCGTTTATTGAGCAGACAGTTACATCCTGATTGTGTCACTTGTGGTAGTTCCTGATGACAAACTCATGTTTCTGCTTCATTCATGTAGATGAGTCACAGGCAGTTTTTCTATGTGTGTGTTTTTCTAAATGATGATTAATTTACCTGTCTTGGAATGCATCGAGCAGTCTCGGGTCCAGGATGTTTTCCTCTGGTTCCCACGTGTTGTATCTGTGCAGAGAGTGGACAGAAAAATCAATTTATTTTGGTTGAGGGAGAAATGTCACTTCTACAGCAAAACAAACCCTACAGTGACACAAGACAGTCCCTGACTTATGAATCGTGGTAACGCTTATTTATAGGCATGTACAAGTGTAAACAACATGCTGAGACACTTGCACTCCCTGTGGATGCACGTGTAATAACTCTTGAGTAACTTTTACGCACGGCTGCAGGGGGGGGGGGAGAGAGGAGGACATAATGGCTCAGCTTCCACTTAACTGCAGATATATTGGTATTTCTAAAAACACCGGGTGTTTAGACATGCCTCCTTTAATTGGCACACTGGGGATTGCATACATTGTAAAACCACAACCAGCATCGAGGGCAAAGCCTGAAGCGTTTAAGCGCAACCGCCCAATTGCGCGCCCACGCCCGCACGGATTCACACAGTGACAGATACACGCAGGAGTGTTATCACTGTGAGGAAATATTAGAGAAATGGACTTACTTTGGAGACCATCCTCGCCACTTGACCAGATACTCAACCCTCCCCTGTGAAGGCAGAGAAACGGGAATTAGCGTAACGTTACTTTACGCAGCAATCGCACTCTGCATTGCACCGTCATGTTAGAACACACATAATGAAAACAAAACATCAAGTCAGAAAGAAGAGGAAGAGACCTCATATGTGCATATGTGTGAAAATGTCCTTCAGTGCTCTTGTGACAAACCTTTCTGCTGCGCTTCTTCTCGATGCTCTCCACCGCAAAGACGTGCTCTCCCGCGGCGGGCAGCTCCATTTTCCTATGCAAGAAGCAGAATCTCCTGTGTTTTTTTTGCCCCTTTGTTTTTTGGTATCCGACACCTTGTCTCTGCTTTCAGTTCGTTTTACTTGCTGCTCCTTTGCTGTGAAATCCAAGTACCCCCCCTCCTCTTCCTCGTATTCAGACTGCGTCTCTTCCCTCGCTTTCCCTCTGAGAGACTCGTTCTGCAGGCGACTTCAAGCTGCAGCTAGAAAACACTTCATGCAAATAGCCGTTGGCGTGACGTCAGAAGTGGGGGAGGTAATAAGGGGCGGGGGGTTGTTCCCCGTGCTGCGTTCAGGGGCTGCCCAGAAATATGTAATCACGACTTTGATAGCGTGTGAACAGTAGCCTCTTGATGAGTGCTGTAAAAAGTCATACTGCTGGTGAAGTCAGCTTTCTTTTAAACGTGATGGGTGAGAAATAAGTAATGCTAGGCATGGAAAACAGAGTGCTCCAACCCACTCAAGTAATTAACGCTGGTGCAGCTCACTCCAGCCATTATACAACATTCTTTGTAGAGGTGTGGATAAGCCTATTAGCATTAAATGAAGCCTTTACGTATCATTTAACATTTGAAGAACACATTTAAAGGCATCAATTAACAAGCTAAACACTGCACCTTTCCACTTTATATCTGTCTAGCGACACAACCACACAGGTAGCCTACATCACTTTTACAGGCAGTATTTCATCCGAGACAGGGTGTTCAGAAAGTCCAAAAAAGCACAAGGATTTAGAGTTTTTACATTCTATGATTTGACTCGCTCTTCCCCCTCTGGTCTGAGAAGAACTTTGTCATGATGTGAAGCCAATTTGATTAAAAAAATAAAATAAAAAAAAAAAACAATGCCAAGGGAAACTGCACACAAGATAATAATCGTACATTATGGGCCAACTCTTCCCTTTGTAAAAATGTCCAACAACAAAATAAGTGCTACCAAATGAATAGTTGGTCGCGGTTCTCTAGATTACGACTCTAGATGAGACAGTGAAGGCATCACGTCTCCCTGCGATGTTGCTGCATGTGAAGCGAGATCGAACTGCAATACGGTGCCATGTAGAAAAAGAGCTTCTTTTTTTTTAACTCTAAACCACGATGGACTGAAATACAACTGAATGAATGCAACCTGCCAAAGCCCTTCGTTTAATGAAATGTATGTTCAGTCCAAACTCGTCTTTAGACCGGGTTAGTAGGCTATGCGAGATTTTTGCTGAGTGCGTCCTCTCAGTATAGGCTACCACCCACAGAGATATCCAAAATGTTACGAGCTGAGACACATGATTCTGTTTGGTTTACTTTTTTAATTCTAACATAATAGAAGTCATTTCAAACGTATTTTTCCGCCTAAAAAACTCTTGATGGGCCCGAACAGCGTCAAGGCCAGAGAGCCTGTTCGACATTGATTTATCACCTCCACCAGAACAAGGCCTCGTCTAGTACCGATGATCCCCAGTGAAATAAGAAAACCGTCTCATCCGATGCTGCATTATGATGATAATATGGGTCTGTCTGTGCAGAGATCGCCGCTGTTACTGCGCATTACACTGAACAGATCCACAGATGACATTTGGGATGGCACCGTGTCGCGGGATTTTCTGCAGGGATTTTCCGCGGAGTTAAAATTTACTTTTTTAATTCTAACATAATAGAAGTCATTTCAAACGTATTTTTCCGCCTAAAAAACTCTTGATGGGCCCGAACAGCGTCAAGGCCAGAGAGCCTGTTCGACATTGATTTATCACCTCCACCAGAACAAGGCCTCGTCTAGTACCGATGATCCCAGTGAAATAAGAAAACCGTCTCATCCGATGCTGCATTATGATGATAATATGGGTCTGTCTGTGCAGAGATCGCCGCTGTTACTGCGCATTACACTGAACAGATCCACATATCCTCTCTTGAGTCAAGGTCACACAATGAGATGACATTTGGGATGGCACCGTGTCGCGGGGATTTTCTGCAGGGATTTTCCGCGGAGTTAAAAAAGATATAGCCCCCTGGTTGTGTGGCAGCCGATGTAGGTCAGCATCCTCAAACCCCGCCGGCTTTAAAGTCCAGCGGGGTTATTTCTGTGTGCACACAGCCCCGACAGGACAGGCACCAGCCGGTTCCGTTATCACCTTGGCACGGAGAGCTCATGCAGACATGACTCCCTGTATGATGGACATTTAATGCACATATAGACCTCTGGTAACATCCTGACAAATGAGACTTAAAACTGAGGTTACTCAAATGAATTTGAAGAAATGCCGGACAAAGGGAGGGTTAAAAAATGACATATCCAGCTGTTTATGGCCTCTGGATATGTATCCCATTAACTGTTATCCATTACACTGCACATCAACCTCACGGGTTCATTTATATGCATTAAAAATAACAAGTAGTAGTCTACTAAGCCCTTTTTGCATTGTTTCATACGGTTCCACCAAATAAAATTCAGCAGTGAGAGGGTTAAAGTGCAGGGTTCCCGCAGGCTGCATTTTTTTTTATGCGAGGAGCACGAGACCATGAAATGTCACCTGTCTGCTCATGATGCCTTCACCAGCAGATAACAGGATTGATCAGATATGGCATTTAGTGTGATCAGATGAGCTGTGTGGAACAATGACTGCTGATGCCAAAGGTCGATACACAGAGAGCTCACGCCACGTCGGGTTTTGTCTAAATGTAAGAGTCTTAAAACCTGGCACGTGTTACCAGCACGTGTGCGTGTTGTTAATGGTTGAACAGTGAAGATCACCTGAGCTGAAGTTCACCTGAGCTGCGGAAGCACATAATCCCGCTCACAGCCCCACGGTGCACTTTAACATAGGAGAACGGGATAAACGAAAAATCAGCACGGAGATACGGGTTACAGTGTTTATCCAGCTGTTCAAGCACCACTTATTTAATGACATATTGATGGAACTCAAACGTTCGTGTATTTTTAAGGTAATTAGTTACAAATACAACAACTGAAGACGTGAAAACAAACTTGTCTGGTGTGTTTTCAGATTAAACTCACACTACATTTGATATCCTCTTTAAGTCAATAATTGTATAAAAGTTCAGGTTGTGGTGGAGCTACTGCCAGTTTTCATGAAAAAATAAATAAATAACGATCCCTCTGCCCTCACAGTCAACATGCTCTATTAATGGATTAAATATGGTTTGGTGAACGGCGCAATGTGCACGTACGAGCTGCTGAAACTGACTGAAAGACTTGGTTACGATCACTTCCCCTTCAGCTAAAGCACATGTGAGAGAAGGGATCAACAGGAAACTAAAGATAAGAGATGATTTTGAAAAGAGTAACTGCTTTAAAACAAATAAATCATTCATCATGCATCTATAGCCCTATAGTGTATTAGTCTTTTTGTTTAAACATGAAACTTCAACCTTTCACAAGTTTAGAAGTTTAGGCAGTTAACATATCTACTAATATATGCATTTTAAGCATGAGTGCCATGCAAGTATTTATTACATTTGAGGGCAGGTGGAAATGGAAAAAAATATTATTTTCTACAATGAAACAGTGAACAGAGAAAAGTATTTATAGAAGACAAACAAGAAGGAAAGAAAGAGCAAAAAAACATTCCCTTTTACAAAATGCAAAAGAAAAAGAGTCTGTCAGGTGGGTGTTAAAAGCTACTCACTAAATCAGAGACCAATTTACAGTAAATGTGATGCGCTGGAAAGGAACACAAAATACATCAACCAAAAAAAAAAAAAAGTGTTAGTTTAACAAAAGAGAAATAACTTGACTACAACATGTTAGCTGATGCTTATGGACAAAAATGATTCCCCTCCATGTGGCTATTGTTGATGCCACTGCTCTCCCAGTCAGTGAGGACGTCTGATTAAGATGACATTTCCACATAGGAAGAAGTGACGCTCAGTCTGCGTCACAGCGCTGAACTACAGATCAAATGACAGCCGAAGAAGAACAGGGGGATAAAGGGGAGGCATGGTGTCATAATGATGCATAATTCCTCATAATGGGAACAGAAATGTGGATGTAAAGTATCAAAGCAGCAAGGTCTCCCAACCCTTTAGAAAAAAAGAGGCAGAGTGGAGCTCACTGTTTCTGTTGCGTACAATTTACATGACAATCTTCTGATTCACTGAGATCTGCGTTTACTGATTTGGATTTCAACGCTCCTGAATGAAAAGCTTTTTTTGTTTTTAAAGACCTTCTGCAAACAAGTGGTCACAAAGCTGAAATCCTTTAGTCTAAAAAAGCTTTCTGGTTCTTAATAATCAGAAAAGGTTTCTTTAAATGATCCAGCTGACAACCTGACTGAGCAGCTGCTGTGAAGAAAGGACAGTTGACTGAATATTTAACAAATATGTTTAGATTTAAACATTCGGCCGAAGGACTCTATAACGCCTCGGCTTCAGAACATCGATTTGTTTCTTCACCTCACATGAAACTCTCTGACAAGCCGACACGTGATTAAACGTCTGATGTGTCACTTGGGAGGGGACACTGTTTCTGCTCTTTCATCTGAAAATGTGTCATCTCCAGTTGAAGTTAACAGAACAGAAGATGTTTCAGTTGTTCTCATTCTTGGCTGCAGCAGAACAGGCCAAACTGTCAACACTACAATTTTCATTGTTCATTTTATTATCAGAAGGGATTTGAAACAACTGTTTATATAAAGATCAAACTGTGAGTCACCACTGCTGGCAGTAACAACCGCTCAGCCGGAGTCCTGTCCTGTTTTACTGCTGTTGGTGGTTGTAACAGATATTGAGGAGGGGCGGGGGACATATGTATTATTTTATTACGAGTATTATAACTCCAGTACAAGATTGAAGCTTTAATACGCATTTCAAGATTTCATGTGACAACAGATGGCACAAAACTTGAGTTTAAAGCTTGTGTGGGGAGTTTTGAGCTGATTGAAATGAACACTGATGCTCTGAAGCAAAACAAGACCAGCAGGGACCAGAACTATTATTTATACACATGGATTTGTTTAAACATCTTTATTAGTTACTGCTGTCAGTGTGTTGGTGTCACAAAACTATTCACTGAATGCAAGACAGGCTTCACTTTTTATTTAAAATGTTTCCATTAAAAAAAATACAAAAATAAATCACATTTGACAATTAAAAGACAGACAAAGTTATTTGTGGGGTCATTTTTTCAGGAGACAGGAGATGTTGGGAGGAGAGAGAGTGTTGAAATGACATGCAGCGAAGAGCTGATGTCGGATTCAAACCTGCATGGCCGCTG